AATAGTTTTTCTAACTCAACTATTGTTTGTCCGACTGTGAGAATCTGGAAAGGAAACAGGGTTAGGCATTACATCTACTGACAACCTAGCCTGTTCAGTCACAGTTTCCTGGTAAAGACTTGGTTAATCTTTGTCACTTCTTCCATTAATTTGCCCATCTGTTCGGTCAATTGACCAACCTGATGACGCAAATTATTTCCACCATTGCCGTTTTGTCCTTGGCCATTAGAATTAGGCTGGGATGGCTGAGACTGTTGGGAGTTACTGGAAGCAGATTGGTTGTTTCTGTTTCCATATCTCCTATTTCCCTGAGGATTCCTTCTCCGTTGGGAATTGTCTTGGTTCTTATTAAACCAGGGTCGTTTATTCCAATTGGCATTGGATTTTTCAGAGTTACTATCAGAAGCAGTAAAATGCTACTGGCATTTTACTGCTTCTGAGGTTTTCGAGTTTCAGAACCTCAGAATAGGTCCTCTCTTTCTGTTGGGTTTCTAAACCTAACTGAATTTTAGTCTCTGACACCATTTTATCGCCAGGTTTCTTAACCTTGTGCTGATTTTCATCATGTACATGGTGTATAGTATACAATTTCATGCACTGACTGACTAGCCATTCTAACGGTAACTTACAATCATAATCTTTTGTGAGACTCATCTGTATGTTTACCGGCATAGCATGAAAATACAGATCTTTGAATTCTGTACTTTCATACCTGGGTTTCCTTTGGGCCATGGACTATGCATTTTTCTTTTTTTCTTTTTTTAATTCTTTATTTTTCGTGCAGAGGATTACAGTATGATCTGCAATGCCACGACCGCAGGGCAAACTGAGATCATCATATAGTTATACATTGTCATGGCACATAAAAGCAAAGCACATTTTTATATTTTAGTCTCACTCTAACAACGTAGTTACATAGTTGCCCTGCACAGTGCTAGTGATATTGATTATTAACAAGAGAGACTGTAAGCAGGGGGTGAGTGGTTGCTCAGGCTAGTATTTCTGAACTTGCTTAGTCTAATTGATTAGATTCAGTTGAGTGTTTCAGTACACGTGTGTAGCAAATGTGTGTTACAGGGTTGTAGCATGTGGTATACAGGTTAAGTACAAGCTGTTGAGTAGTGTCCTGCTCGGCTGTCTCGTAATGTAGGAAGGTTACAACACATTTAATATAGTCTGGCGTATTATGATAGCGTGTATGACTGTATGGTGTGTGTTGTGGGGAATCATTTGGAGTGTGCCATGGCAGTGTCACTAGTTTAACAAGCTAGGTTGTCTGATTATGAAGATTGGCAGGTTTAAGCATGTAATTATTGGGCATGCACTGTAAAGCCTTGTAGAGTTTTAGACATATGTAGAGTTCTTACAGGGTATACCACGGCATGCTCTGTGTGTTGCAGAGCTGGTTAGTCCCTGTGGGGTCGGTCGTTGCCTGCGCTGGCAGCTGCAGGTATTGCTGCACAGGATTTCTCGTTGGTCTGGATCAGCTGCCCGCAAGGTGACTCTTCGAGGCCAGAGCAGAAGCGGCATGCGGCTGGGTAAGGCGATGAGAATGTTCTTCAGGTTAGGTATCAGTCCCAGGGTGAGTCTTCACCATTGTTTGTGGCTGTCTCTGTTATCCCAAGGTTGTGGGTAGGAGGGGGCCAGAGCTGGATGCCGCCGGGTCGCGTGGCTGCCATTACGGCCTGAGGGAGTGGATAAGGCCTCTTGCCGTTGTATGCTTTGGGGCGTTCTCCTTCGCTCCATCTCCCCCAAGGCTATGTTCCCTGTTAGGTTGCTGCCCCGTCACTTGCTAAGTCGTTGGCTTCCTTGGTGAGTGAGGCCGCGTTGCTTGTGGGGTTCTTAGCGTTCTAGGCCGCCGCCATCTTAAGTAAGCGGGGTGTTATTGCTTCCACCCACCTGTGGCCGTCCAACAGGGACCATACTTGTAAGCTCATACTTGTGACTGTGCCATGGTGGATAGCGATGACCCCCGACGGTCCGGGGGGAGGAGGTTCTGCATCTGCAGGACTTCAGGGCTGGAGGACCGGCCGCTTCCCCAGCCCACATCGACTGCTAGGCCGCAGGTCGGACCTGCTTCGGGAGCGCTATCTTTGCCCCAGTCCTGTTCCCACCAGGTACTCCGTGGGGTGAGTGGGTGTGGAGCCTGTTAAGCCTGGCTGTATTGCGGCAAGAAAGGCTTAAATTCAGCCATTTGTTGGGAGCCCTAGTTGTTTGTGTCCTCTCCGCATGGCGGTCAAGCTCCGCCCCCAGACTGTGCATTTTTAAGAATTATTAAAAATTCTCTTGGGCTTTGATCTAGACGGCACTTTAAGTTATAAAGATCTTTCCTAGCAGAAGCAATGGTTTTATACTTACCATATTCCATGCTTATCTCATATTTCATCTTTGACCAGGACATTAGCTGTATAGCTTGAAGACTCTCTAGATGAATACGGCACATTGAATCAAAGGTCCATGTAATGGACCATTTTCTTATGCATGTCATCATACATGCCCAATGAATACATTCCTCTATCATAATTTTCCAGGTGCTCAGATATGTTTCCTGAACTTCTAGAGAATTGTGAGACTGTCTCTTTCAGGAATCTAATTATCTTAGGAGTTTCATAGACAGGAGTAATTGATTTATGACTCTTGTTTCTAGTTTCCCTGCTTTTAGGTAAACGTCTGTGTGATCTAGCTGCTGAAGAGGCATTAGATCCGTATAACAGTGCAGATGACATAGCAGTCACATGGCCTAAAGAGTGGACAGTGCAATCACTTTCATTCCCATCACTCTGAGCTTCTCGCTCACTATCACAATTCTGATCAGCATCAAAGTTCTGCCAGTGTACAAAAAAATGTCTGCTTTTACTCCTATCACCCTGAACCTGATTCCCTTCCTCAAGCTTGGCCAAGACAGTCTATTCAAAGGTGTTTTCTCAGATTTGCTCACATCTTTCCTTTCAGACTGTTTTGGGAAAATCTGGTCTGGTGTGCGGATATCAGGGAATTGAGAAAAATCAACTGGGTCTTTCTCCTGTGATTTTTCACTTTCCTGCTTATCTAACTGTATCTGTATCTGTTTTATCTGCTGTTTATAATTATCCATCATGATGCTCATTCCATCGAGTCTATTTGAAAGATCAGCGTTTTTAGCCTGAAGGATATCATGTTCAGCACACAAAGTTTTGAACTTTGTTCGAACATCAGGCTTTTGTGACATTTGTCCAATCTAAGTTCTATCTCATTATGCTTTGTTAGCATAACTGTATAACCCAATATGAAAAATGCACATCGATAATGGACAGTATCGTAGATTCTTTGTCTATGTTGCTAAGATGTTTAATTAGAGGTGCATTATTCGATATATCATAAGTCGAATTTTGAACTTGTTCTCCTTTTTGTGTCATTTTACCCCACTCCCTCTAGCATGTAAGCTCATTGAGCAGGCCCTCAATCCCACTGTTACTGTGTCACTATACCCCACTCCCTCTAACATGTAAACTCACTGAGCAGGCCCTCAATCCCTCTGTTACTGTGTCACTATACCCCACTCCCTCTAACATGTAAACTCACTGAGCAGGGCCCTCAATCCCTCTGTTACTGTGTCACTATACCCCACTCCCTCTAACATGTAAACTCACTGAGCAGGCCCTCAATCCCTCTGTTACTGTGTCACTATACCCCACTCCCTCTAACATGTAAACTCACTGAGCAGGGCCCTCAATCCCTCTGTTACTGTGTCACTATACCCCACTCCCTCTAACATGTAAACTCACTGAGCAGGGCCCTCAATCCCTCTGTTACTGTGTCACTATACCCCACTCCCTCTAACATGTAAACTCACTGAGCAGGCCCTCAATCCCTCTGTTACTGTGTCACTATACCCCACTCCCTCTAACATGTAAACTCACTGAGCAGGGCCCTCAATCCCTCTGTTACTGTGTCACTATACCCCACTCCCTCTAACATGTAAACTCACTGAGCAGGCCCTCAATCCCTCTGTTACTGTGTCACTATACCCCACTCCCTCTAACATGTAAACTCACTGAGCAGGGCCCTCAATCCCTCTGTTACTGTGTCACTATACCCCGCTCCCTCTACATGTAAACTCACTGAGCAGGGCCCTCAATCCCTCTGTTATGTGTCACTACCCCCCACTCCCTCTACATGTAAACTCACTGAGCAGGGCCCTCAATCCCTCTGTTACTGTGTCACTATACCCCACTCCCTCTAACATGTAAACTCACTGAGCAGGGCCCTCAATCCCTCTGTTACTGTGTCACTATACCCCACTCCCTCTAACATGTAAACTCACTGAGCAGGGCCTCAATCCCTCTGTTACTGTGTCACTATACCCAACTCCCTCTAACATGTAAACTCACTGAGCAGGGCCCTCAATCCCTCTGTTACTGTGTCACTATACCCCACTCCCTCTAACATGTAAACTCACTGAGCAGGCCCTCAATCCTCTCTGTTACTGTGTCACTATACCCCACTCCCTCTAACATGTAAACTCACTGAGCAGGGCCCTCAATCCCTCTGTTACTGTCACTATACCCCACTCCCTCTAACATGTAAACTCACTGAGCAGGCCCTCAATCCCTCTGTTACTGTGTCACTATACTTTCTGAACATTAAGCCTCAAAACCCGAAAATTTTGACCTAAAAGCTGACTGACCGCAATTGCCCTTGGTGTAAAGGGAGCACTGGATCCAGGGAGAGGCTGGCTCCTCGAGCTTCAGTCCCCTGGAGGAGGAATCTTCGATGTCCCAATTGGGGCCTTCTCCGGCGGTGAGTGGGGCGGACGGCCGCTGCCCCACTGTCCTGCCTAACAGAGCCCAGCCAGAGGCCGACACTCGAGAGGCACCGGCCCTGTTTCCTCCCCCCTCTGGACCGGTGGGGGTGATCCCAGTCCTCACCCTGTGGCCCCGACCGCTGCAACGCAGACAAGGCCCAGCAACAACGCCACCCCAATCTGTGGCCCAAGCACCTCACCTAAAATGGTGGACACCATGTGCGCTGAAGGCAGAGGGGAGGAATGCTGTCTCCCTGTGCTCATATCTAAAGGCAAGGCATCCAGGCACAAACTGGCCCGATACCACCAACAGCCACTTAGAAGCACTTACCCTGGCTCCCTGGCAGGCCAGGAGAAGAAGGAAGAGATGCAGAAATGGCAGGCCAGTGCACGCACCACAATATTGGCTGATGACACTCAGAAGTCGAAAATCTACCCTCCAGATGAGACGGGAAACCGATCTTACATGCAAGACACTGCACACCTATCCTGGTTTGCCAGACAGCACCTTCCAGCTAGCTCGGACAGAGCCACGACATGTACCAAATGACTGGCTTATAACGGGGCCAGACTAAGTTCACAGCGGCATCAACTAAACAGAGACTCATGTGGACATTTTACTTCTGTGCCCCACCGACCCACACCTCCCGCGTATGAGTAGTGCACGGAAGAGAATCAAGCTTACATGCTGGATCACCCGTCTTACCCATACTTAAGCTTGGCTACAAGGGCCTCTAGGGGGAATACTCTGTCATGCACAACTAAAACAGCAGGTATTGCCCACGTATACAGTCCTAAGCTGGGAAGACTAAATTCAATTAAACTACATTAACATAGTCTGGGACTAATCATCCTAACAGCCCTTAAACTACATTGAGGCACTCTAGGGGTTAATTACTAGGGTAACGCTACACAGACCCACCTCAATGGTCCTCACCAGAACACTCCAGCCATGTACACACACTGCGCTCACACGCCAGCAGCCCATTTTGTACAATATGTTAGAGCCTTGCCTGCACTTCAGAAGGGCCACACATGTCGCTATACATGAAAAATAGCCTGTACTTAATCTGACTTAAAGGACCACTATAGTGCCAGGAAAACATACTCGTTTTCCTGGCACTATAGTGCCCTGAGGGTGCCCCCACCCTCAGGGACACCCTCCCGCCGGGCTCTGGGGAGAGGAAGGGGTTAAAATCTTACCTTTCTCCAGCGCCGGGCAGTGAGCTCTCCTCCTTCTCTCCGCCTCTTCTCCTCCTCTTCGGCTGAATGCGCATGCGCAGCAGGAGCTGCGCGCATTCAGCCAGTCTCATAGGAAAGCATTCATAATGCTTTCCTATGGATGCTTGCGTCTTCTCACTGTGATTTTCAAAGTGAGAAGCACGCAAGCGCCTCTAGCGGCTGTCAAGAGACAGCCACTGGAGGCTGGATTAACCTATTTATAAACATAGCAGTTTCTCTGAAACTGTTTATAAAAAAATTAAAAAATGGGTTAACCCTAGCTGGACCACGCACCCAGACCACTTCATTAAGCTGAAGTGGTCTGGGTGCCTAGAGTGGTCCTTTAATGGATGCTGTTTTCCTACACCTAATAATCTGCCATAATTTAAGCTGACCACCCAGTGGTATTTAAAATCCTACATGTCATATCTACTTCTGCACGATATTGTTGTAAAATCTTTACCTGCTTTCATCCACTGGCAGAATTATGAAACATGTTTATTTACCCAAAATTGTGCTGACCAATCAACTGTCATGATACTGTTTCTCTGAAAACGTCCTTATAAGCTTGTGCGTGCTGTTGTGGCAGTACAAGCCTGTATGTTACTCTACGCATGGAAAAATAAAGAATAAAAAAAAAAAAGAATTCGTGTTGCAGTGGCGTACTAAGGGGGGGGCGGGGGGGGCTGTCCGCCCCGGGTGCCACCAGGATGGGGGGTGTCATGACCAGGGGCGGCCCCCCCCCTCCCCCCATCCCCATGCTGCAGCCGCCCGAGCGCTCTGCAGAGAGCCTCGGGCGGCTGCAGCTTTGCCCGGGCGGTGCGTCCACGAGGGCGGACCGCAGCGCCCGGGCGCAGCCTGAGAAAGAGGGCTGACAGGAGGGAGCGCTCAGCGCTCCCTCCTGTCACTCCCTCTGTAGTAGCATGGTCGAGCCCTGTATAATCGGCGGGTATAGGGAGCATCTGTCTCCTGTACCCGGCCGGACTAACAGGAAGTGCACACAGTGTGTTCACAAGCAGTTGTATACTGCAAACACAAATTAAAAGGAATCCATGTTTAAAATGGAATGAGGCAAAAATGTGATTCTTTGTTAAACTAATTTGCATATGCCCACCCAGAATCCTTTGCGGTTGTAACATCACTGCTGATTTGGGATTTCTGTGGGAAAAGCAAGTCTTATGGCTTGACTGGTGTGCAGATTTTTGTTTTAGCATTGTATTAACTATCTGTGTGTGTGTGTGTGTGTGTGTATGTGTATGTGTGTGTGTGTGTGTGTGTATGTATGTATGTATGTGTGTGTATATATATATATATATATATATATATATATAAATTTGTCTCTGGGTTGTTGCGTTCAACCCCCCCCCTTGCTGCAGACATCATGTCTTATCTCTGCCAATGTTTACATTAGTCACATTCCTTAGCTCAAGCTTGAATGAATAAAGTTACAGAGAATTAAAATGTGTCTGTCTAGGCATTCTGTTACAAAATGGAGTCACCTCTGTTCTGATAGTGACTTACAGTATACACTTTTAATTTCTGTCTTAACACAAAATGTCTGTCAGTATATATATACTGACAGGATCTATGAGAATTAAAAATAGTGGGTAATTCTTAGCTTTAAGTTAATATAATCAGGGAAATAGTGCCAAGATATCAATTTTAAAATAATAAAAATTATTAAATTAATTTTTGATAATATTGATGAAAATATTATTTTTAATATTTATCACCCCATAAATATCCTCACAGTCCAGAACTGAAGGGGTTACAATGGCTTGTGAAATTAGGCAGAGAAAGAATGTAACAGCCCAGATGTGACACACCTCCGCCTCTTTTTTGGGACACAGTGCAGAAGAAGTGATACACAGCTGACCCTTCCCAGTCTTAGAAACTGCACTCAAAGCAGAATATAACTGGGGTTGATTTAAATATCTTTGATTTAATTTATAAGAATGAGATTTTAATATCATGACTGATAATGGATTGCTATATTTTGCAAAGCCTGGACATACATATGTTTTGACTATATATAAAAAAAAGAGAGATTTTGGTAGAATAAAACCTAGATTTGAAAAATACATGTGATATAGGTAACATGTATGTCTTTTCTAAGTTATTTTAGGTGACACAATGGTGCCAGTGTTGAGACAAGATGACTACCATTGCTAAAGTATAGTGTGAAACTATTTTTCTGTCAGCAGAGGCCTTCTTTACACCCCCCTCAACACAGGTCTGCAGGGCCTGCCCACCTACCCCGTCCCCCTGTTCCATCGGCCATTGCTATTCCCCCATGTTGTGGTTTAAATTCAGCAGACAGCAATGTTTTCTCTCAGGTATGAAGACAAGGAATGGACACAGCAGAAATACGAGCTCGGAGGGCAGTACTCATTCACACAAATGTATGGCAGAATACTACACCTAATTTTAATGGGGAGAACACAGATCTTATAACAAAATTCTGTACACATCCAAAAGGGGTTGTCTTCACATAATACAGTCATGTCCTGTCAATTGCATATTCAAAGAACTTAAAGCACATTTGGCATTAGCTGGTCAAAGGGTGTTACTTGATTAAACAAACACTTCCCAACAAGGTGTTAACAGGATTTGCAGTGCAGAGGGGGGGAAACAAGAAGAAGATACAAATCAGGATCAAAGGCCAGCTGTTATAATAGAGCATCCTGACATTACTCAATCAACTGTGTAGTGTGACACAGGAAAGGTGCTCATTAATCCATATCACCCCATATACCCTGACCTGACCTCCTCTTCCTCTAGAGGACCTGCCTGCCTAAGATACACCCTCTAAATACCCTGAGTATACCTCATCTGTTATATCCACACCACCTGTGTTCCCCGTTAGGGGAAAGAAAAGTATCTTTATGGTTGACACTCAGGCCCAGCACTCTGTTGTGACTAAAACCATCGCTCCACATCTGGACAGACTGTCACTATAGTAGGGGTCGCCGGTAAGCTTATCACCAGACTATTGCTACGAGAAAGAACCTGTAATTTATGAGGCCATGTCATTCAACACCAGTTTCTGTACATGCCATTCAACTCCTAGGGAGAGATGTCTAATCTCCTAGCTAAGGTCACATTTCCTCCAAATGGTAACACAGCTCTTGACCTCCCACATGTCTGTATATGTCCCAAAAGAGGTAGAATTGAGGTTATTTGTTGTCAAGGCACTTTTGGATGCACCCTCACTACCTCCAGGAATCATAAACACCCCATGTATACAGGATAAATAAAAAAAAAACCCTGTTCTTGCCCTAAACAGGCCCCTGGTCCAAATTGAACTGAAACAGGCGTGTCCCCCGTCCGCTAGAGACAGTACCAGATGAGCAAGACACTATGAAGTGAAGAAGAGAAAGACGATGTGAAGTCAGAAGACGGCTGACATACACCCAACATGAGAGGTTTGCCTCCCTGATCAGACTTATGACTGAGCCAGTAGAGGAGATGACTTTGTGGGCCTGGCAGACTACCGACCTGTTCAGGACCTCAGGGCAGTCAACAAGGAAGTCATGACAATTCACCTGGTGGTGCCTAACCCCTATAACCTGTTGGCCCTTATACCTGGAAGAGACACCTATTTCATTGTCCTAGACTTGAAGGATGCCCTTTTCTGTATATGCCTTGAACTGCAGAGCCAACGGATATTTGCAAACAGACGGCTTTCAGAACCCTGAAGGAGGCCTTGGACTTCCTGGTCACCAAAGAGTGTTTTACCTGTATGTTCAGGAGAAGAGGAAATCTGCTGTTCTCACCCAGTACTTGGGCTCATGGTAGCGGCCTGTTGCCATCCTGACCAAATAACAGGTTTCAGTGGCCCAAGGTCTATCCCCTTGTCTGAGAACATTGGCTGCGGTTGCTCTCCTCCTTGCAGAAGCTGATAAATTGACCCTAGGACAAGAACTCTATGTTCGTGTTCCACATGCCGTCCAACCACAATAGTACCAAGCCAAACTATGTGAGAACCTATGGAACCCCAAGGAAAGTGTCAACTCACTGAACCTAGCTGTGACAAAGTGCCCTTCACCACTTGGTCCTGGAGAGGCCTGCTTGCCAGCCTCCTCCCCTGTGACTATGACTCTTTGATGTATTTGGCTTTAAAGCCCCTATTCTACCGCCAGACAGACTATTTATGTAGGTTGCGTTATTTCTCTTATGTTTTAGTCACCCTCTACCCAATATAGGTGCAGGGTGTGTGTAATGTAATTGTTTATAGTTTGTGTGTGTGTGTACTGTGAAATGTATTGCCTGCTCTCCTGTACTGCTGAGGTTTGCTACCAACTAGGTGGATTTGGCTATGGAGCTTGTCTTGTGCCCTCTGTTGGTAGTAACAGCAATATGCACTACCTGAATAGCAAGACTGGTTCATTTGCATTGTTATGGGCAAATGCAAATATTACAAGTTTTAGAAAGAAATGTTGTATTTCTTAAACTGTGTACTTTGTCTTTAAGAGATATTGCAAACTGACAAGGCGTTAGAAATGGAACATATTGTTTTTCATAGCAATAACCTCAGTGCATAATATGTTTGCGCCATTTTGTCCCAGACGAATTACAATAACAATAATGCATAAACAAGCTTCAAGGCTGTGCTACAACTCTTTCAGTACACAATATACTGTGGTAACCCCAAGTTAATGGAACTTCCCCAAATCCGGGAATCTCCCACGACTGTACACTTACGACCTAGTATAAACAACAGATAACCTATTCAGACTTTAAGATGCCATCTTGAACTAAGTCAGGAAAATTTCCATGACGTATGCACCCTTTAGTTATGGCCTTGTATGTTTGCCAAATTAAGGGAGGTCCTAAAATGAATAAAGTAAATGAACTACGGCAACCCTAAAAGACACCTAAGGTATAAATAGGTGTACTTTTGGAGAGACTTGGAGACAGACGCTGCTCCATCTTAAAATGACAGAGAGGCTGACATGATGACATGTTCAGAAGGGTATGTTAACCTATTAATGATATTTGCAAGCATGTAATTTAATCTTATAAACTCTGCTATAATGGATTTTATATTTTTATATAATAAATATCCAAAAAGACAAAACGATTGCTTCCAAGACAATCCTTATTTTATATTGTATTCTCAATTATTTATATATGTTAAATAGAGGATCTCTTACACTATATAAAATTATGGCTAAGATATCTGTATGGTTAGCCTTACTAAGTTCTATGCTTTAAGACATTATAGTGGTAAATAAGGGAACCACTTGCGGTTACAGCATATTCGGGTAGATTTGCATATTGCTTATTCTGCAGGCATGTGAGATATTTTCTGTTAAATATTGTCTCCCCCATCCCTTTAAAAATATGCCATTGTGTTATAATAAGTCACTGTATGTTGTCTGCTATGATTTGGCTGTTTGTAATTTTACTGAGTTCTTCTTGATCCCTCTAAATGTAGCCTTGTCTCATTATTGGAGGGAGCTGTTATAATCACACTGGGGATTGCTATGCTCTGCATACTCCCCTGAGCTTGAATCACTTAACTCTTTTAAGAGCTTGTTCCTGACACGCTCTCCTTGGAGGAGAGATCTTCCCCACACAGTCCTGGATGCTGGAGGTTCATACAGGGTGGAAGGAAGAGGTATTTCCCACGCGATCCTGGAGGACAGAAGCTGATCCAGGGTGGAAGGAAGACGGTGAGACTCCAGTCGAGCTACAGCAGTTGCGGAGTCTGCTGTGGTTGTGGTGTCCGCTGCAGTGCTTGGAGTCCTCAGGAAGCGCTAGGAGCATCCTTTAACAGAGGGTACTCGGTCAGAGTACGGGGAGCTCCGTTACACTAGCCACTTTATTACCAGAACCTGACCAAGGCCTTGCAACTGGTGTCAACATCTACACTGATTCAAAGTATGCATGCCTTACAACTCATGCCCACAAGGAACTGGGCCTACTCAACTCTGGAGAAAAAGACATCAAGCATTCATCTTAAATTTTTGCACTACTCGAAGTGGTCTGGGCTCTTGCCCAAGTTGGCATCATCCATTGCCGAGCCCACCAGAAGGGTGACGCCCTTGTGAATATTAGAAACAGGCTGGCTGACGGCACTGCAAAACATGTCGCTATGAAAGACTCTGTATATCAGTCAACCCTTGCCATGCTGTTCCTGGTATCCATCTCTGATGGGTCACCCCTATATAGCATAGCTGAATAAAATGGCTGGAAAACAGAACCAGGCCATTTCCTAAATAACAAGTGGTACGAATTTGAAGATGGGAGAATAGATGTATCCACGTAACTGGCTGCAAACATTGCCGTCTACAGTAACATAAGCAGTGGCCAGAGGATGCATGGAATGTGCCAAAATAGCCTGAGCAAGGACGTAACCAATAACCAGGGAATCAAACTGGTGGAGCATTACCTATATCTTATTTTCTCATTGACTTTACTGTTATGTCAGAATTTGGTGAATTCCGCTAAATCCTTGTCATCGTATGCTCTTACTCTGGCTGGGAAGAAACACGGCCCACCTGAACCGAAAAGAAGAAACCATAAAAGAAAAGAAAAAAGTGGTCCGTTTCCTGCTGAAATAATTCCAAGATATGGAATCCCGATAACGGTTGGATCTGACAATGGCTTAGATTTTGTACACATATGCCTGCAGGAATTAGCCACCAGCCTCAGTTTTCCACCAGCCTGAATCTTAAATGGAAACTGCACATTGCCTATAGGCCTCAAAGCTCAGGAAAAGTTGAGCGAATGAACCAAACACTGAAGCTACATCTGGCTAAAATGTGCCAAGAAGCGGGATGTCTTTCTCCCCATTGCCTTGTTCCAGATCAGGAGTGCCCCAACACAATTTACTGGTCTCTCTCCCCTTCGAAATCATGTACGGTTGACCACCACCGATTATCCTAGGCCTTAAGAACACATGCCATGTGTGACATGTCATGATTCCCTTTTATTCCAGAAGTTTGGTCCTTAAGGGGTTAAAGGACCACTATAGGTACCCAGACCACTTCAGCTTAATGAAGTGGTTTGGGTGCCAGGTCCATCTAGGATTAACCCTGCCTGCTGTAAACATAGCAGTTTCAGAGAAACTGCTATATTTACATATGGATTAATCCAACCTTTAGTGGCTCTCTCAGCAACAGCCGCTAGAGGCGCTTCCGTGCTTCTCACTGTGACTTTCACAGTGAGAAGACGCCAGCGTCCATAGGACAGCATTGAGAATGCTTTCCTATGGACTGGCTGAATGTGCGCTCGGCTCTCCGATGACGACCGAAGGAGGAGGAGAATCCCCAGCGCCGAGGGAGTCCGGCGCTGGAGAAAGGTGAGTGTTTATCCCCGTGGATTCACCACTCCAGAATCAAACCTACCTCTGCTCCATGGGAAGTAACGTTTGTTGATCTTGACAACCCTTTGAAACTCCATTTTAAGAGAATATAGATACTTGTTGGAGAAAATATCAACAAGTAGGTGTTTTGATGACCATAATAATGCCTGACCACCTGCAATCGCTGTAAAGCTGAGGACCCCCCAAAGGAGGCCTCGAAAAGCCGAAGAGAATCAGAAGTACTCCTTACCCTGCAGCCCTTACATCTGGAAGCTGAACTGCCGACACACGGTCGAGCTTTTTCAGGATCAACTGCTCATCTTGAGTTTGTGGTGATATTAATAGTGAATAAATGACTTGAGTCCATCTGTACTAAGATGGCATGGGATAGAAGTCATACGTTAAACAATAAGTAGAAATGGTGGGTTTAACTATTGCTCCTACCGGAGTTGTGTGGGTTGGGCCACCTATGGATCAGATACCCTACCTGCGAGTCTGCAGACAATAACGGCCACATCTAGTTGTGGTCCCGGCACTTGTAACCCCTTGAACCTGACACTGTTTAATCCCCTGGTATTCCTGTACAAATGGGGCACCTTTCATGGTTTGCAGATAAATGCTTCTGGTATGGGCCCAGGAACCATACTATATTTGAATATTGAAATTGAAGTCTTAAATAGTGAGACCCACCAGGTTTTTCAATCTTTTTTATGAAGAGATAGGATCTCAGATGGAAATCTCTCACACCACTCGTAATTTGTTTCTGACCTAGCTGAAAACATAGCACAGTCCCTAAATGTAACTAGTTGCTATGTATGTGGTGGCACCAATATGGGTAATCAGTGGCCCTGGGAAGCACTTGAGACAGACTTGCTGGTAGTAGAGCAGGGAGAGGGAAGGTGTAGTACCCCATCCCAAAATTTGAATGGTTGTTAAAGACCTCTATAATTGGGAATGTGTGCATCAGTAGAACTGGTCCAGAATTCAAAACTCCAGTGGGTACCCTTACGTGCCTAGGACAGAAAACGTATAATTCTTCTGATAGGACTACCTCCAGATGGTTCACAACAAATGCATCTGAACCATCCCCTAGTCCCTTTGGTAATTACCCACATCTAAAAGATGTATGGACCAACTTGTCTGCAAGGTCCACTTGGAGAGCGCCCAGTAATATGTATTGGATTTGTGACCTTAAGGCCTACTCTGAACTCCCCAGAGATTGGGTGGGAGCCTGTGTTCTAGGAACTTTGAAACCTTCCTTCTTCTTGCTTCCTCTAAGGGAGGGGGAGATACTAGGATCCTTGGTATATGAATAGCTCTTAAGGCAGCAAAGGGCACTGACGATAAGTCAATGGAAGGAAAATGAGTGGCCCCCTGAATGCATAATTGATTATTATGGTCCTGCTACATGGGCTGAGGATGGAACTTATGGTTATCATACCCCTATCTACATGTTGGATTGAATAATCAGGTTACAAGCTGTAGTTAAAATTGTGACGAATTATGCTTTTGGCTAAACAGAATACCAGAATGCATCTGCTATCTATCAGAACTGCCTAGCCTTAGATTATTTGTAAGCCACTGAAGGGGGGTGTATGTGGAAAGTTAAACTTGTCTAATTGTTGCCTTGAGATTGATGATGAAGGGGAAGCCATAAATGACATTGTTGGTAAAATAAGGACAGTGGCCCACGTTCCAGTACAGACATGGAACGGACTAAACCCTAGTGGTTGGTGCACAAGATGGTTTGATTCTTTTGGGGTTTTGAAAACTCTAGTGGTAGGGTTTTTACTCATGATGGCACTTTGTATGCTACTCCCATGTTTGACTCTGGTGCTGCTCCTCTCCTCCGTAGTATAATCGACGCTACTATAAAAAGGAAAACAACTGTTCATGTCTTTGCCCTTTGGAGGTATACACACCTTAATCAAGAAGATACTGTGTAACCTCACTTGCCTAGAACCCAAGACTAGGTTGGTATGGTATTTCCAGTTATGATGCATATCGGCCACCTGTATCCAGGTGTTGAAGCATCAAAGGGGGAATTTGGTAGAAGCTACAGGATGTTTAAGAAAGGTTCAGTACTCACATGGTTAAAACTACTGAGCAACTATTTTGGACCAGGGCGCATGTGTGGAATGTCAGGAATGCCCACTATTAGATAACATATGTAAGAGAGAAGTCTTAGTTTAATAATTGGATGTAACTATAGTATTGTAGGTGTAATTTTCGTATTCTCTGTATACGTATGGAATACGTCATTTGTGGTATATATTCTTTGTTCTCTTGTAAACGTGTGCTTAGTCAGGTATTCCAAGACTGTTGTCTGACTGGGACTTTGCAGCTGCAAAACAATAAATAGCCTTTGTTCTTCAACGACCTGTGTTTGGAGTGTCCCTGCATCATCTTTGACCCGAGAATTCTTCCACAGTATTATTAGGAATCGCTGTTCAAGATCTGCCATAAACAGATTAGCATATTGGGGTGCCATCTTAGTGCCAATAGCAGTGCCCATGGCAACATTCCACATACAGATGGCATCAATGCTTGCTCTCATTTCCTCTCTTATGCCGACAACCAAAAATACAGCCCCCGAATCATAGAACTGGCACTATTTATCGTCACACAATTATTTCATAACAGCGATTAATAGAAATACAGCGCACTAAAGCATACAAATATTATGGCTATATCGATATCTTCATAATTTGGACTAAAAGCAAAGAAAAACTGATACAGTTCCATGACTTTAATACATTCCATCTATCAAACAAACTAAAAATGGAATATTCCACTAGATCTGTGAATTTTCTGGACACCACTGTGACATGTAACATGAACACAATCTACACCTCGGTTTACTAAAACCCACAGACAGGTGCAGTTACCTTCACAGCTCCAGCTTAAACCCCTCCCATACTAAACAGGGCATCATCTACAGCCAAGCCACTAGGTACCATCGCATATGCTCTGATCCTAATGACCGTAATTCCCATCCAAATGTACTCTCCCAATCTATAAAACAGGCTACAAACCAAAGACTGTTACCAAACAAATCAACTCTGCTGTAATAACTCCATGCACACACGCACCAGCTACAGTACAGAGAGAAAGAAAATACCACTTATGGTCACCTATAAGGAAATACGGAAACTCAATAAAGACCTACAACCAGTGTTAACAGAAGAGGAGACTATGTAAACCATTTTCTCTGAAACACCAATTTTGGCCTTTAGACCACGACCAAACTCTTAACAAAAATTAACAGGAAGCTGCCCACTGATGGTAAGAATAAAGAAAACGGGACCAGTCAATGCAAAAAACCTTGCTGCAAACTGTGTCAGCACACATGCATAGACAACCTACAGCATTAAAGAATCGTACTCCTGCACATCCAGCAATGTGGTCTACATGATTCAAAGCACCAAATGCCACTTAAGAAGCTACATTGGATAACCACCCAGCAATTAAATGGCAGAATGAATATGCGCAGACACTCCATTAAACACCACAAGGAATGATCATACTGCACTCTAGATATGTGCAATTCATTTTGTTTCAAATGTCAATTCGGACAAATTTCGGGCAATTCTGATACTTCCGAATGTCGAACTAGCTGAATTGCAGAATTTCCGAAGTGCCAAAGTACTAATATACCCAGTGGAAGAATGTTACACTGTATACACACATAGCCAGGATTCAGCTGTAAGCATTTGCAACACTTACAACAATCAAGTAACACGTTCATATACAATGTAAGTTACTTAGCCAGTCAATGGATGGGAAAGAGTCCTAATGTGTTTTACACCCCACCTCCTATAGAATGTAAGCTCAATTGAGCAGGATCCTCTTCAAGCTATTGTTCCTGTAGGTTTTTTGTAATTGTGCTATTTGTAGTTAAATCCCCCCTCTAACAATATTGTAAAGCGCTACGGAATCTGTTGGCGCTATATAAACTGCAATAATAAAAAGAGTAAGTAGATGACTCCCTAATTCCCACGGTATTAGGGAGCTATCTACCAAAAGGCTGAAAGACCTAAATTGGCCTTTCAGCCACATTTACTAATACGAAGTAAAAATGACAGTAAATTCTGCTCCTACTCGCTATACTGCTATAGAGATTGACATCCATCACACACAATACACCCCTTGCACACAGAAAAACACACAATGCACCCGTTACACACACTCAATGCATCCCATACATACACAAACTCATCTTGCAGCCCTTACACATACAAACACAGATTCACACAATGCATTCCTTTCACACATCAGGACATCCCCCACAGACACACTCCACTACCTGTGAACAAAATCATTGGTGGAACATGAAGGTGGACCCTGAGACCCAGACCTTGAGCTGTGTAAAGGGCCCTCAAAAAAATGGAGCTGCTTCCCGTTCTCCCAGAACATTGATTTTTGTGACCACAGTTACAAACCGCCTCCAGAGAGCCTGTTGTACACCAGACCAGTGGAGCCAGACGGCAGCTAGAGCCCATCATCATCCTCATCTGGTTGTAAGTAGGCAATCTAATATATTATTCGTGGCACTAATCTCTAATTTACCTCACATTAAAGGGACACTATAGTCCCCAGAACCACTGCAGCTTAATGTAGTGGTTCTGGTGTCTAGCCTGTCCCTGCAGGCCTTTTAATGTAAACACGGCGGCACTGCAGCACTGGTGTTAGTTAACATGGCAGATCATATGGGTGGGGCATTGTGATGTCACATGGGGGGGCGGCAGACTTTACTTTTGCTTAGGGTGGCAAAAATCCTTGTACCGGCCCTGCAGACACTGCATCCCTGTGGGCGGATTCGGGGGGGGGCAGCACTTTGGGCGGACTCAGGTGCAGGCACCGCGGGGCCCAGACCTTGAGTTGTGTCAGGGGCCCCAACATTTCTGATGGCAGCCCTGAATAAGGCTACAATCTCTCTGTATATAATGGTGTTTTAATACAGAGGTGTGTTGGCATTTAAATGCCTACTACTACTTCTCCTCCCCTCGCGAATCAGACTCTGTTAGCAAGCGTCTGACATTTCCTCCCAGCATTGCCTGCTGGTATCAGGCAGGTGAAGTCGTGCTGTTAAAAACTTGCAACCAGGCCCTTGCTGACTTTGCCACCCAATGCACCCAGACACAGGCATGCAAACAAATTAAGACAGCATGTGTTGGCAGAATGGAGGTAAGTGTCACAAGAAGAGTAACACCCATGAACCTCAGGACATAGCAGCATTGGAATGTAGATAGGGTGAGTAAATATATATATATTTTTTCTAAATACATCATATATTTCTATGATGTATTCAATGTATTGTGGGGAGAGGCAGGGAGGCAATTGCCCCCCAGGCCGCCCTAAATTTTTTTTAAAACGGCCACAGGCGGCTCTCTTATTAAGCGGTATAGGCGGCCGCAGACCTGTGAGGAACCGACACCAGGAGGGGGCCTGGCGGCTTGTTCAGTATGCCGCCGGGTGTGATGCCTCCTTCAGGCTGCCAGAGAGCACCGGTGGCCACTGGTCTGCAGAGCTGCAGACCATGTGTCTCGTGAGATCCGGCCAATCAGAGCATTGCCGCGGGTTACCACAGCAACGCTCTGCAGCTCTGCTCACTGTGGAACTGCAGACCAGATATCACCACTGGACCACCAGGGAGCCCACAGTGGACCACCAGGGAATGACAGAAGCTATGTAGTCTCCCCCCCCCCCAATCACACACACATTATCACCCCCTCACTCACACTCCCTCTCAACATCATCCCCCTTCCTCTAAGCAATACCCCCCTCTCACCATACTAACTCCCCCATACCACCCCTCCTTCACACCATAACCCCCCTACCTCTCACCATCACCCACATTGTATCATATTTGCCTGGCTTCATAACATCAACATCTGTTATAAAACCAGGAAAAGGTGGGCATGGATGGTGAGCTGATTTGGTGGTGCAATGGGCCACTTGACTGGATTTGCCTCTCAGGCCTAAGGCTGCCAGCCCTCCCCTGGGGGAGAGGGGGGTAGGCTAAAGTTTAAATTTACAGAACAGGTTCATCTTTATGCATTCAGGCATGAAAAGGAAATGAAAGGGTTACATTCCACAACCTAGTACTAAAATGTCACACAACAGGGCTTTGTTTCAGAGATTATATATATATATTTTTTTTTTTTCTCTAGCTATGTATCTATCTTACGCTAATGGTCTTTAGCTGCATGGATTCCACATGATATCAGAAAAAAGTTCTCTCATTTGGTCTTCTTACAATGAATATCCCAACGGTCCATATTCTCTTTCGTAGAATGGACTTGCTCTCAGATCGCCTAAGGCTGAATTGTTCCTGGCACTTTAAAGTTGGCTATTCTCACCAATGATGGATACCACTTACCTTACGTACATGGGCTGATCAAGAATATTTGAAGCCGAGCACGATGGGATGTTTCTTTCGTTTACACACATGACTGCCTACATACTATAGGGCACATGGGATCATCAACAGGTAGACTCCCCGCATGCAATTGCAAAGCATTAAATGGAGCTGTAGTTCAGTAAGAGGTGGGAGCAGGGAGCAGTTGTAAAGTCCTAAAGATGCATTAATTGACGATTACAAGATCATTCTATTACGTTTTGGTGAAGAAGAAAAAAAAAAGTCAAAACACATTTGAGGTGAATGTTTCACACTCTTTATAGATATAAATTAGATAAAACCTGTGTGGGACACCCTACCAACCCAGGCAGGTGAACATTAAATATAAATGATTTAACTAAACAGCAGCTCCAGGGAGAATCATGAATCTGCAACTTCAAAGTAACAAAATATACAAATTAACTACGAACGTTAATGATAATTTAATCCTTCCAGAAAGAAGATCCAAAAGGCAAAGGATGTCAGCTAGGTGAGAAAGCCTTATTTACAGGCTATGGCATTCTCCAAGTCTGCAATTTGGTCATTGTCCTTCGAGTGATCCTGGCCAGTTACTTGGGCATGTCACGAAGCAGATAGACTAGGAGTTCATACGTAGATAGCACAATGGCAGTGTTGGGGATCTGTCGAATGAGTTGAGCCAAGAGTCCTCTATAAAAAGCCGAGTAACCTTCTTCTCTTGCTACCAAACGTGCAGTCTGACAAAATGTCTTGTATTTTGTGCCTTCTTCGCGCAAACGGGTTCGGATGACCTCTGTAAAATGGAAATAAATACACATTCAGACCTGTTATGGAAAGCATATCAATGGGATTTTAAAACCTTTGTTTTATTATTAGGGGTCTGGGCCACAATATAAAAAAGGAAATTGCATAAATTGGTCTAGATTAGCAGTGCTCAAAGCAATGTACAAGGAACAACTACTCAACCTTTTATGGGGCTGAAAATGTCATTTAGAAAAAGAGCAAAGAATCTGACTTAAACGGATTGCTAAACATTCACTAAAATGAAAATTCATGTGAATTTTAAATGTAAGGCCAGAGTGGCTGAAATGGAAGCAATGACCTAGAAATGGTTTTAATTGACTTTAAATTACTATATTAAATAACCGGGTCAGTGTAATTTAAAGAAAACATTCCTGGGAGAGTTCTTGCTATACACCAAGATACACAAATAAAGTGCCTAGAAAGGACAGGCAGGACAATCGGGAGGTATGGCATTTAGATTTAGTTATTTGGAGATTTTATTTAAGCAAATCACATTGTTGATTTATATTCTGTCAATTATTTAAAAGGTGGTCTTAATATTTAGTAAATAATTTGTTTTTTTACAGGGAAAAGCCTTTTTTTTTAGTTTATTTTTTACAGTCTATTGGTCAAGATTATAAACTGCAGAGCTGGAACTCGTGTAACAGCTATACACACCATGTGGATAAGCAATACAGGATGCGCAGCCTTTGGAAAACGCAGCAGCGAACATTAAACCCAGGAAGTTGGCATATTTTTTCTCTCCTGATGCAACTTTAGACGTTGTCAAATGGATCTCATGCAGATGTTTCTTTAAACCTTCATATATTACAAAGCATATGATGGTCTCAGATATCCCAGCGTAGGAGGCGGTAAGACCTCTGTAAAAACCACGCACTCCTTCTGTCTGGTATACGTAACGTGCGCACTGAACAGCATTCATTTGCTTTGAACCTCTGACCCTATTAAAGTAAAATAAAAATAAAATAAAAAGAGAGAACATCAATAAGGGATGACAGTTATTTATGCAATTATCTCAGATCAAACATGCACAGATTAACACGGTAATTTGTCTAGATCTATATACACATAAGTTACTTCTAACAAGTAGTAAACGTTTGTAGCTTGTTTTCTAAGAATTTAAATTAAAAGAATTGATACATTTGTTCTTACACTTAGTTTATGGCTATGGAGCACGTGAACGATTATAATTTTAATATTTTACTTAATCAGCATCCTAAACTGGGATGCCAAGTCCAATAACCCTAGAAATAAAGCGTACATCCACCCAGTCTTCCTTTCGATACTTGCCAGCAGTCCCACACCTCACTGGACTGTAAAAAAATAAAATATAAATGGGAGATCTAACCCAACCTCACAGATATTTCATGTCAAGTCCCACATCTGAAAAAATATACAGGTTTCAATTGCCTTGCTCGCGTCTCGGGGTACAGAAGGAGAAACTCAATGGGTTTTAAAAGGATGAGGAAAGCAGGATACAAGAGATTCGTGTTCATGTTACAAAATGTGAGTTGGCTACAATTACGCAAGTCCAGGACGTATCCAAAAATAGGTCCAATTTATCAGCCAATGCCCAGCTCCCCAGATTATAAATACAGGGTTGCGGCATAATTGTCAGCTTGCACATAACAAATGTAAAAAATAAAAATAAATTATATATACATATGCTATTTAATGGAAATAAAAAGATTACCAGATGACGCGTTTGTATTATTTTTGAATACATACAATGAAAAAACACTTTTCAGTGAACCTCCTGAGTCACCCTTGCACTGTGCGGACAGACACTTTGCTTTGGCGAGAGAAACCATCTGCAGTTTAAGATGTCAGTCACCTGCATGGGTTATGGTTTGATAAGCTTAGATTCTGACCAGAGTGGATTTAAAGAGTTCTGTCTCCAAGGAGCAAGATGTATGTATGGATTATTAAACATCACACACAGTCCTTATACTACATGCAATCATTTTTTTATTTTTAAAAATGTAACCCTTCCTTTAAAAAAAATTTAAAAAAAATTTAAAAAAGAGAATAAATACGCCCTGAACAGTTTTGAACACAATGAACCATAATGATCATTAGATCCCACTTAAAACATGAAATCTAGTCTGGCCGTGGGTAGTACTTGCCTTTTTTCAAGCTGCATTCGGGTTTTCACCATCCAGATTGGGTTCATCATGGTATTTGTCACAAATGCTGTGAGAGGACATGACAGGAACGGTCAGTTATAAACATTTTAAGCAGTATAGTAATGGACAGAAACAAGCCAATACCATACAAGCTAAATGAGCAAATCTGTGCTTTAATGGTTCATTTAACAAGTTTCTCTTATAAGAACACCCCCCCACCACCACCACACAAAATCACACTAAAATAAATAATATATATATCCATCCCTTAGATTAATAATTAAAAGGAGCATCAAGACTTCAGTTTCACGTTCATCAATAGCTCGGTTGCCCTTTTATCACGACATATTAGCTACACTGTCACATTTCTAAACTAATGTTAACCGTGTACTGGGCATGGGACTGTGTGGGATCTAAGGGAATACTCTGACAAATAGATATGCAAGAATGGGGAACATTAGAGGCAATTTCAAAGGACCACAGAAATGGTCCTTTGTCTGCCTAGGTGAACACGAAATGACTGAAGCGGGTAATTTGCTAAATAAGAACATGTCCTGCAGCTGTTGGTAAATAGACCGTAATGTGTTTGGTTTGACACTAGGTGTCGCTCTGCAATCACAGTATATTTGGCTGCAGTTACACAACCTGATCTGCATACTCAGCGTCATGGCTTTCCTTCCAGCTCTGTATCCCCCACCCCCACCAATACTGTCTAACGCATTCCGCTGCAGTCCAGCACTTTCCATCTGTGTCACTACATCCCTGCAATGCTACTTGATACGTTGTATATATTTACTCTCGATATACGTAAATAAGTCTCAAATTCTGCTTTGTTGCCACCTTCAATAAATAAAAGTTAAATATATCACACGAACACTTTTAATCCAGTGGTTTTTCACCAGATCAGGAGCATTTCATTGGCCAGGAGTTTATATGGGTATATTGTGTGATGGACAATAGAGCTTTGTCTTTTGACTTTTTCTCTCCCAGAACATTTTTTTTCCCCTTGAGAGATTCTTTCAGCCTCCAAACATATTTCTCTTTACAGTAGTGAACACATTAAACCAGCACTGGCCAAAACTAGAAGAAGTGGTGGCCTGATCCAGTCACAATGCTTCCCCATAGGATTGGCTGAGACTGACAAAGAGGCAGATCAGGGGCAGAGCCAGCACAATTCAAACACAGCCCTGGCCAATCAGCATCTCCTCATAGAGAGATACATTGAATCAATGTATCTCTATGAGGAAAGTTCAGTGTCTGCATGCAGAGGGAGGAGATACGGAATGTTTGGATGCATTTAAGGCAGCCATGACCCAGGAAGGATCTCTAACAGCCATCTGAGGGGTGGCCAGTGAAGTTATCACTAGGCTGTAATGTAAACACTACATTTTCTCTGAAAAGACAGTGTTTACAGCAAAAAGCCTGAAGGTAATGATTCTGCTCACCAGAACAAATTCAATAAGCTGTAGTTGTTCTGGTGACTATAGTGTCCCTTTAAGACAGGCAAAGCATCAAGGGAATTGTAGTTCTGTACCTGGGGACCACGTTTTTGGACACCCCAGGATTTACAGAGGTTTATTCATTAAATGGGAAATAGTGGAGACTTCACATTTTAGATCGAATAGCTCAACTGGAATTGCTTTATTAAATTACACTTTAGTTTACCTGTTGTGATAAAAAAATTACCACAATTAATGAATAAACTATCCACTGCAGAATGTTATGTTAATAATATCTTGTCACAAGGTAATCTCTTTGCTTTGTATAACCATTGCAATGTGGTTTGGAGAGCAGATTAAATACACTTAAAATACTGAGCAGTGAATTGTAGAAACTTGCATCCAAATTTCAGTTTTATAAATAATTGGCATCTGATTACATAGTAATAGAGACAGAGTCCAAGATCAGCCTGTTACACTTCACTTTCTGAGGGTGACCCAAAAGAAGAAGAAATGCTTAATTTAGATGGATTTTCAGTTATGTTAGAAAATGGGATGGACTCTAAAAACTACAATCCAATTTCTCATTGGATAAACAAGCTGTTACCCTGCCTGTACATACATATTTATGTTAACTCACTATTTATTGAATAAGCCTTTTGAAATAGGGACACTATAGCAATAGGTTTACAAACGTATTCCCAACGCCATGTGTTCTGCAATTTATATAGGTATCTAACCACCCCCGCGAGGGTTAATAAAAATAAGAAAATATTTTTTATTCACCTTGTAGACCTTGCCATAACTGGTCTCTGTGTTGCTGGTCCACCTTCTTGGCGAAGATTAGCAATTGTTTTGATCTCAGCCAATCCAATGCTTCGTGCTTGGGAGGTTCATGTGCATGCCTTGTATGCAAAGTGTGGAGACCCTGAAACCTTTGCAGGGCCTCGTCCTGGAAGTCACTCGAACTTAGGCAGCCGTGTAAGCACTGCCTTTTCTCAGAAAAGGCAGCATTTACACTGTTGAAGGCTATACCCTGATCCACTTCAATTTAACCATATAGCAAGGTAACCCAAATGTCATCTAGAAGTCTAATGGGAAATGGTCAAAATGAAGGGGTGGGGATAGGGATAAATAAAAAACAAAAACCACTACACTACATTCATTATTTTCCCTTATTTGGATATTTTAGCTCAAAATGTGCAATTCTCCGGTCAACTCCCTATTTAGTGAATAAACCACAGTTCTGGATCACACAAGGTTTGCATTCACAGTAATGTTATCAGAAGTATTGCATCACCTGCAGAGCCGGCAGCACACATGTGCACCACATTACTGTTCGGAACAAAGATGGCATTGAACTGCTCCTTGGCTTTGGAATAAGATGCGAAGTAGATAGCCCTGAAGAAAGAGATGATTTGAAATACACAATATACACCGATGACAGACATGTTGGGGCAATAAGCTGCTCTGTGTGTCAAGACTTGAATAGTGTGAACAACACTTCAATACATTTTCTCTTAGCTTCCAGTCTAAAAAAAGTTGAGCCTTTGTTATATTTAGAAAATACTATCGTTTGAAAACCTTTTCATTGCAATTTCTTGATAAATCATAGAGCAAGTGGACACTTGAAAAAGATATTCCTTTCATGGTAATTCACTAAATGGAGGCCAAAATAGTTCATCCCCAAATCTTTTTTTATGATCAATAATTTAGGCAACAAATGTTAAACTATTCATTGAATTACCGACTGCTTCTGATTTAGCTAATAATCCAGTTTGTATGGATTTGTCAAACAAAACTGACATTGTGTAGTTAAACGATTAGGGTAATTCGAGGCAGAAAGCTTTTAACGCTTTTTTTAAAATCCAGCTCAGCTATTTTATTCTAAAATGTGCAATGCGTTTCTAATCAGTTCTCCAAACTTTTCCAGTATTGTTGGTGTTGGGGGGAAGATAGACAACCCTGTGAATTACAAGTAAATAAAACAAATGACATTTTCACTAAAATGATAATTTATCAGGAATTTAGAGAGTTTTAAATTTAAAGCCAAAATATCAAAACTGGAAACGGACATTCACTTTGAATTGCCAACAATGTTCACGTTACTGATTAACCTTGAAAGTTTAAAACACAGATGTCCAGTGAACACTCCTCACTGAGTAAACAAGCGCCTTGTCCTCTGGTCAGAATGGTAGATTTATTTTGAAAATATTTATACTCAATCAGGATATTGTTGCACTAATTAATTACACTCCGTGACCTACATTTCCCATTAGCCAGCACAGCCTGTCTCCACGATAATTTTATTAGTACAAAAATCATTCACCCTACTTATGATTTGCACAACAAATACAATATTATAATTATATTGTAATATAAGAATTATGAATACAATTCTGTTGATAAAATAAGTCACTGCATTTAAAAGATTTTTTATTTGAAAATAAATGGCAAATATCTAGCATTTTATAAGCAGACTAGATGTTCAGTACAACTGCATGAAACAGAAAAATAAGTAACTTTGATCTCCAGCTTAGAAGCTTGTATTCACCAAGGTCCTTCAACTTATATATGGCTTTTTCATGATATGCCTTATCTTGATCACAGATAGGTGTACAAAAGGCATCTAGATTTGTTATTTTCTGTAAGCCATATAGTATATTTGTTTAAAAATATTTTGTATAAAATATTGGTGCTGCAACAAAGACTTATGCAAAGTTCTTTCCTGTGTATATACTGTAAAACCATGAGGTCTACCGCATACCAGCCACAAACAAGGTGCTTAACTGGACAGGAGGCCAGCTAGACCTTGGTTAACAGTACAACAAAACAGGATGGTCCAAGCACTCAAAGTGTGTAAATAGGCAGAATAATGGAGAACAGAGCAATGTTTTGAGCTTGACAAAGATCTTGGCCAGGTCAAAACGTTGCGGTTTAAAAAAAATAAATAAATTGGCCCATTTACGCACCTTGAGTGCCTAGACCATCCTGTTTTTTTACAGTGTAGAAACATAGAATGTAATGGCAGATAAGACCCATTCGGCCCATCTAGTCTGCCCAATTTTCTAAATACTTTTAATAGTCCATGGCCTAATCATAAAAAAAAACCCGCAAATTCCACACAGTAGGCAAAATTTGTTTAGAGAGCCCAATAAAACCTTACTTCGAAGACACTGGCATTTATTGTATAAAACAGTGACTTGTAGCGTACTGATAACCTAACTGCAAAATTTTAGGCCAAATTGGCCAATTTAGAAAAATTCTCCATCTCAACTGTTCAGCTATTTTAGTCTAGTTTCGCAACTCAGTCCTACTTCCCAATCTCCCACATTTTATTGTTAAGTGAATACCCCATTAAACTGAGGAAATATGGCTCAGATTGCAAGAGATAAGTGTAGCAAGATTATATGTGATAAGCACAAGGTCTTCCTATAGATAAAACATAGAATGTGACGGCAGATAAGACCCATTCGGCCCATCTAGTCTGCCCAATATTTAAAATACTTTCATTAGTCCCTGGCCTTATCTTATAGTTAGGATAGCCTTATGCCTATCCCACGCATGCTTAAACTCCTTTACTGTGTTAACATCTACCACTTCAGCTGGAAGGCTATTCCATGCATCCACTACCCTCTCAGTAAAGTAATACTTCCTGATATTATTTTTAAACCTTTGTCCCTCTATTTTAAGACTATGTCCTCTTGTTGTGGTAGTTTTTCTTCTTTTAAATATAGTCTCCTCCTTTACTGTGTTGATTCCCTTTTATGTATTTAAATGTTTCTATCATATCCCCCCTGTCTCGTCTTTCCTCCAAGCTATACATGTTAAGATCCTTTAACCTTTCCTGGTAAGTTTTATCCCGCAATCCATGAACCAGTTTAGTAGCCCTTCTCTGAACCCTCTCTAAGGTATCAATATCCTTCTGAAGATACGGTCTCCAGTACTGTGTACAATACTCCAAGTGAGGTCTCACCAGTGTTCTGTACAATGGCATGAGCACTTCCCTCTTTCTACTGCTAATACCTCTCCCTATACAACCAAGCATTCTGCTAGCATTTCCTGCTGCTCTATTACATTGTCTGCCTACCTTTTAAGTCATCAGAAATAATCACCCCTAAATCCCTTTCCTCATATGTTGAGGTTAGGACTCTATCAAATATTCTGTACTCTGCCCTTGGGTTTTTACGCCCAAGATGCATTATCTTGCACTTATCCACATTAAATGTCAGTTGCCACAATTCTGACCATTTTTCTAGTTTACCTAAATCATTTGTCATTTGGCTTATCCCTCCTGGAACATCAACCCTGTTACATATCTTAGTATCATCAGCAAAAAGACATACCTTACCATCAAGACCTTCTGCAATATCACTAATAAAACTATTAAAGAGAATGGGTCCAAGTACAGATCCCTGAGGTACCCCACTGGTGACAAGTCCAAGCTTCGAATATATTCCATTAACTACAACCCTCTGTTGCCTGTCACTCAGCCACTGCCTTACCCATTCAACAATATTGGAATCCAAACTTAAAGATTGCAGTTTATTGATAAGCCTTCTATGTGCAACAGTGTCAAAAGCCTTACTGAAATCTAGATAAGCAATGTCTACTGCACCACCCTGATCTATTATTTTAGTTACCCAATCAAAAATAAATTAATTTAAAAAAAAAAATCAATAAGATTAGTTTGGCATGATCTCCCTGAAGTAAACCCATGTTGTCTCTGATCTTGAAATCCATGTGATTTTAGATGTTCATCAATCCTATCCTTTAACATGGTTTCCATTACTTTCCCCACTACTGAAGCAAGGCTTACTGGCCTGTAGTTGCCGACTCCTCCCTATTACCTTTCTTGTGAATGGGCACAACATTCGCCAACTTTCAATCTTCTGGGACTACTCCTGTTAACAATAATTGGTCAAATAAATCTGTTAATGGTTTTGCGAGTACACCCCTAAGCTCTTTTAATAGCTTTGGGTGTATTCCATCAGGTCCCATTGACTTATTTGTCTTTACTTTTGAAAGCTGAAATAGAACCTCTTCCTCTGTAAACTCACATGTAACAAATTACTCATTTGTAATTTTTCCTAACTGTATATAGGCATTTGCAAACATTTACCAGAACAAGTGAAGAAAGAAAAAATAAATAATCACAGAAGAAATACACTGATCAGCCACAACATTAAAACCACCTGTTTTATATCATGTAGGTCCCCCTTGTGCTGCCAAAACGGCCCGGATGTGTTGAGACATGGACTCAATTTTCCAGCTGAAAGAGGCCACGGTCATCAGTTAACACCATTGCCATGAAGGGGTGTATGTGGTCTGCAACCATCTCTCAGTATGTGGTACGTGTCAAAGTCACATCCACATGAATATCAGGACCCAAGGTTCCCAGCAGAACATTATCCAAAGCATAACACTGTCTTTGCCAGCCTGCCTTCCTATAGTGCATCCTGCCACTATCTCTTCTCCAGGTAAACAACGCATATGCACCCGGCCATACACTTGATCCATGTCACTATTAAAAGGTGCTATTGGCTGTGGACAGGGATCGTCATGGACATTCTGACCAGTACGAGCTACACAGAAATCTGATGTACTGTGTGTTCTGCCACTTTGCATCATGGCCAGCATTACGTTTTTCAGCAATTTGTGTATTTGGACCAAACGGGCTAGGCTTCACTCCCCACGTGCAACAATGAGCCTTGTGCACCAATGACCTTGATGCCGGTTTACCAGTTGTCCTTCCTTGCACCACTTTTGGTAGGTACTAACCACTGCATCCCAGGAACACCCTACAAGACTTGCCATTTTGGAGATGTTCTCACCCTTGTCAAGGTCACTCAAATCTTTTTGCTTGCCCATTTTTCCTGCTGCCAACACACAAAATTCAAGAATTGACTGTTCACCCCTTAACAGGTCCTATTTTAACAATATAAATCAATGTTATCCACTTCACCGTCAGTGGTTTTTATGTTGTGGTTCGTCCGTGTAAGTAGCAAAATCTCCAGTTTTATGAACTGAAGACACGTAGTTGTTATACACGTGAACGGATCATTAAAATAACCGCATACATTTTGTGTGTGTTTAATATTTACATATTTATTTTACTTAAAATGAGACATCTATGAGCATGTTACTTTGAAAGCCTAAAGATATGTTTACAGCTGCAACACAATACGATTACGCTACTTACCTGGAAGGTGCCACTCCAATTAAGTTAGGACCCAGTCCTCGGAAAAGAGATTTTGGTCCCTCCTTTTCAAGAATTGATCTGTAAAAGAAAAAACAAGAATCTGATCTGAGAACTGTCAAAATGTAAACAAAAATCAATGCATTTCCAAAACCATAAGATAGCACTTTGTTCAATGTGAAACGGATTATTCCTGCTGGCCTGCTTTATTTTAGTTTTGGAACTCAAAATAAATATAAAAGACGTTTAGCATTTAGTATGTTTCCCCCCCTATGGTATCTCTTGCTGAAGATTATTTCTGTACCGCGTATGAACAATGTAATTTGTAAAGTACTATTTTAAAATTTTAGGGTGAAACTTTTTATAAGATGCAATTGCCTTTACCTATAGTATCCTTACTTGGTCTATAATGTTTAACTCTATCTTCTATCAAACATACCAATACTTTATCATACTGCTCATAATACAATACTGGCTCTTTATCTTCAAAGACAGCAGATGACAAACTGAATAATCTTTGCCATAAAGCAGCCAGCACGGCATCGTTTGGTAACCTACAATGGTTAACTCTGGGTCTGTAGTTATAACAAATATATTTCCTGTTTATTTGGCAGTAACCTAACCACACTGCTTGCAATCAGTACGGAATGTAATGGAACCATCCAGATAAATGGCCACATTAAGCCCTTGCTCATGAATTGCAATAAATATGTCTCACTGTACTTTCTCAAACACTATACAAACAGAAACTGATGTTTAATGGTTCCATGGATACAATCACAATGCACGTTTTACAGGTTTTTAGAGAGAGATAGGACTCCTAAACTGCAATCACAAGTTACATTCTGTGGGATTTATCCACCGAACAGTGCAGAACTAACATGCGGATTCCAAGTTGCAGCCCAAGATGGCCAAGCTGGAGAAGGTTTAAGCCAAAAGAAATTTGTATCTCGCTTGCTGTTTTAAAAACTCTTAGCTGCTCCAGTCTCCATTGCCCGCGCTCTGCCTGTGTGAAAAGCAGCATGCGCGCATGTTCTTAAAAAAAAAAAAAATTTATGTTCAACCTTATTCGTTCCATTAAGAAGCTTCTACTCACTTGAGAACCTGAAGAGCACTTGGCGATACAGAAGCAGCAGGTCTGACAACTCCACCTCCAGTGATTGTTCCCAGCTGTACCTGGGGGTAGTAAACCGAATGAAGAGCAATTGCGGAGGACTGCAACCGTGTCTTGATCACTTCCAGGGGGCATGTCACGATGGCTCCCACCGTACCGGCACACCTGCAAAGAGGAAAATAAAAAAATCCAGTTCATCTCATATCCAAGACCAGATCAGTCTTAGAAAAGTCAAAACGATTCAAAGTCTGGAATCACTACAAAAAAGTCCAACACTTAGAGGACCGTTTACAAAGTTGAGTGTCTGGGCCACATCTGCCTGTAAGGACAGCACATGGTTTTACAAATTGCACAGTTTCCAACTCATTTTCGCAAGATGGGCCTTCACTGCAGTTTACGGCAACAGGGATAAATACGCAAACACAGGCATCTCAGAAGAAAACAGTGTATTATTAACGAGCCACACTAACACCATTTAATGAGCCGATAGCTGAACACATGATACTAACTGCCACCCCAAATAGCCACTACATACCTGACGAAAACGCCCTAACAACGCAATACCAAGCAAGCTCACCACCTTTTGCATGTCTAGCCCTGCAAGGCTTATAAATGTCTAATATTTGTCATTGAGTGTTTATTTTGACTTATACGCCTCTGCGCAGGCAACTATGTGTTACTCTGAGTTAACTGGAATATGTCGGCCTCACATTATATACACTTTCAATGTGCACGCCTCTGCGTAGGCAATTATATGCATGAATGATACCAAGTTCAACACCCGTGTTTATATTGCTGACAATAAACATATTTAAAACAAATTGCACAGTTTTATGCTTTAGGTGGCACGGGGCATAAAAGACATTGCCACAGCCTCAAATTGGGTAGAAAACCTCCAGTTTAAAACCAAATCTAGTGAAAGCAGGAAAAGCTATACAGCAAATCCACCTAAAAGCAGTGCAATGCACCTATATGGCAAAAGCACCAAGTTCTCTGGGATTTTAGTTTATTGTCGAATTGAATAAAAAATTTAAAAAAAATTAAAAAAAAGGAGGCGGCTCATTCTCAATAGGTTATGCGAGTTAATCAGCTACAACACTTAACAACAAACATTTAAAAAACAAAACCCAACCACCACACAGGTACAGGAACCTGACTCTTAACATGAAATCAGTTAAGGCTGAGCTGAATTGTCTATTTATAATAGTAATTTTCTTAGCAACAGTAAACACTGTCGATAGGTCATGAGAGCGAGTAACACTTAACAAAAACACCAAACGAAGATATTATGATCCAAGGACAAAAGGCAATAAAATGACTTGGACAAAGTCGTAGATAACACAGTTTAAATTTTGTTATGAGAAATAACCTGGGAAAAAAAGGAAGGCTTGTAGGAATGCGGATGACAAAGTGACCAGGCCTAGAGAACTAGAACGAGAATAAATCAGAGCCAATTTTCTGTTAATTCACCAACATCCGTACTGGAAACTTTCTATCCAATTCAATGAGATGAAATGGTTAAAGTGCCTAGAGTGTCCCTTTAATTCTCATATCAAGCCCAGTGAGACTTCACACGATTTACATCTCTTAGAAGCCTAAGATTTAACAAGTTTGGCAGCTTTGGTTTTTTGGTGTCTGTATCTGAGTGTGGGAAACTAAGTGTCATTGTGTGTATCGCTGTGTCAATGTGTGTCACAGTTAGAATCACGCAAGCGCCTCTAGCGGCTGTCAATGAGACAGCCACTAGAGGATTTGGAGGCTGGATTAACCCTATTATAAACAGAGCAGTTTCTCTGCATCTAAAGCGGATTGCCATGGCGTGCCAATTGTATGCATCTAAAGCAGATTGCCATGGCGTGCCAATTGTATGCATCTAAAGCAGATTGCCATGGCGTGCCAATTGTATGCATCTAAAGCAGATTGCCATGGCGTGCCAATTGTATGCATCTAAAGCAGATTGCCATGGCGTGCCAATTGTATGCATCTAAAGCAGATTGCCATGGCGTGCCAATTGTATGCATCTAAAGCAGATTGCCATGGCGTGCCAATTGTATGCATCTAAAGCAGATTGCCATGGCGTGCCAATTGTATGCATCTAAAGCAGATTGCCATGGCGTGCCAATTGTATGCATCTAAAGCAGATTGCCATGGCGTGCCAATTGTATGCATCTAAAGCAGATTGCCATGGCGTGCCAATTGTATGCATCTAGAGCAGATTGCCATGGCGTGCCAATTGTATGCATCTAAAGCAGATTGCCATGGCGTGCCAATTGTATGCATCTAAAGCAGATTGCCATGGCGTGTCAATTGTATGCATCTAAAGCAGATTGCCATGGCGTGCCAATTGTATGCATCTAAAGCAGATTGCCATGGTATGCCAATTGTATGCATCTAAAGCAGATTGCCATGGCGTGTCAATTGTATGCATCTAAAGCGGATTGCCATGGTGTTCACTTTTTAAAATACACATTAAAAGCAAGTGGGTTTCGAAAAATTACCGTTTTGAAAAGTGGTTCTCGACCCATAAAGGTTTGGGAAGCACTGATCTAGACTAAAACAAAACCTAGTAAGAAACTACTAAGTTCTTCTCACAAAAAGCATTATTTGCCCTTCAGTGAACTGGTTTCAATTATTAACCTGCTCAAACATTTACAGACTCTTCGAGAACCTAAAAACACACACAATAACAGCATGAGACGCTTACCAATACTATATGGGTTGGACACACAAAACAACTTTTCAGACATTTAAAAAAAAATATAAAATACATCAAAATGTTATGCTTTGTTGTACTCTTTCTATAAAGGATTCTGAAATTGTAAAGGTCACATTGTCTGCACGGACATTACAACACCACTGGCAAAACGGTCACATTTATACACTCTACATACATTAAACCTGTAAATATATTAAAACACAGTCACTGTACTAATAAAAGGTAATAACAGCTGTCATTGAAAAGTTAGGCGGGATTGCTTTGTAGCTCACACAACGCAATAAACATATTGTGCTGCCAAACAACTACAAAAATGTCTGCTGTCATTACCGTGACATAGCACTGTACGATATGAGGCACACCATTACAGGTGAAATTTGGTCGATTGTTTTACCATCACCATGAATAGACTTTAAACCTCTACAGCCACAGATATTATATAATCAGACAAGTTACCCCTGTGGCAGGAGGAAACCCCTTTGCCTCTAACTTGTTTAGGATCCCTGAATTCTCCTACCTCTAGCATTCGCTAAGCATGGGGTGTTACCATGTAGAAAAGCATTGGAGAGCTCGAAGATGAAAGGATTATAAAAAGCATGTAGCACTTTTACCAGACACAATAAACAGAACTTTGTATTTAAAAACATACGCCATGTAGTACATGGCTCATCTTTCTATGGCGTTGTACCATGACGTGCCAGCATCCTTGATAGAGGCTTGAAGTCTTGAATGGAGGCATCCCTGTGATTGCATTGAGAAGATGTTCATATAAATACACAATTGCTTACAGAAACGATGTCCTTGGCTGAGAGGATAGACTCAGAAAAGGTTGCAAGGTAACATGAGGAAAAAGGTCTCTAATTACAGAGACATTATGTGCAATGGTCTAGTAAGGTGTGTAGGACACTGGTTATTTGTTTTGGTCATAGTCCTTCCAAGAAAAGACAGCGACTTCCATCCGTTTGACCCAGGTCAGCTGCCAACTATTTCTGTGTATAGATACAAAATGTACTTTGGGTTTTCAGGAAATTTAACAGAACACACTGGGGTTAGCTATTGAAGGAATTTCTTGACAAAATGAAGAGGAACTTGGTCAAAAGCCATAACTGAAAGAAAGAAAAAAAAACCCACCCACCTTTTAAACAAGTACCGAAACGTTCCCATTTCATGGATCTACAGAAAGCTGCAAAATGAAAGTCTCCACTATGCAGAACGAAAATTGTAGGAAACCATCTCGTCATTGCGAGGCCACCCATCACCAACACATGTTATTTGGAAAGTTGCTTAGGGCTCCTTGAAAACTTTTTTTTCTGTCCCAATCTGTGTTATGTGCAAAACAGCAGGTTTTTAAGGAAATAACGAGGGGGTCATATGGGATTTAGGTTGGTCTTAAAGATATGTACAATTCTAAATACAGAGTAGAAGAAGTAAACAGAGTTGATTAGTCTAAGCTTTGCTCAGGGTCACCACATCCTCAACGTTGTTCTAACTTTTGCTGATTTCTCTATCAAACCCGGCTTTTCCCGTGTGTGGGAAAAAACAGTGTTGGCAATATTCCAGCATTCATTTCCTCTTACAGTCATAGACCTACGAAGTGTTTGCTGAGGAGAATATAGGATATCATTGCAGTCATAACAACCATGCCCACTGTCTGGGGGCAAGATTAGGTAGAATTACTTATATTTTCCAAAGCTATATAGTCTCGAAATGCATAAGTATAATTGTGGTTCCTGTGTATAAATCTATACGGTATAGAGTAATCTGGAAGAGGCCACTCAGTACTTATCCCGTGTTCAAAAATAAAATGATGGTTGTCAAAAGGGATGTATGTGTGCGTGTTTTACAACGTATTAAAGTTAGGTGTACAAAGGAAAAGGCAAGAATGCAGGAGGCAACCAAGGTTGTGAAGCATTGCTTTGAGTTTTATGTGATTTTGATGCAGCGTACGAACAAAAAAGGTCTCTGCATATGAACAAGACTTGGATTGAATTAGAAACCTTTCCCACGCTTTCTTTATACAGATTCTAGGTTCACATCATTCTTAGCTACAGTGCAAAAATCTCGGAAAGTAAAGTACACTTTGCCAGGCCCCCCTCGAAGCTTGCACAATAGCAGATAGCATGTTTAGGGTATCACAAAAGATCACTTGGCAGAAATCGGACAGTTTCAACATATTTCTTGTCTTCCATTGGCAGGCAGATTGATCGGGAAAGATAACTCTGTTAAAAGGTTTACTCGCTAAACTGATAAAATATTTTGTTTTGATAAAGTAGCTTTAAAGATTGGTGCTTGTAAACTGGCTTTTAGATTGTATTATTCTAAAACGTTTTATAGAGTTAAGGAACTCCCTCCCTTCCTTTTTGCTGACTTGTACCAGCTTTTCTAGATAATCCAGGAAAAGCTGCTACTAGCACTGGCTCAAGAAATATATACGTTTTCTTCAGTCCAGAAATAGGCCCAACAGCGCATGGTTTTTCTGCTCATGCCTACAGATATACACAGTCTCCTTGCTCATTTCCTGTGAAGAAAAATCTAATGTTCTAATAGACTGTAAGCTCATTTGAGCAGGGTCCTCTTCAACCCATTGTTCCTGTAAATTTTCTTGTAATTTATCCCATTTATAGTTAAATCTTCCCCCCTTATAATATTGTAAAGTGCTACGGAATCTGTTGGCGCAACAACAACAACTAGAATAAAACTCAACTCTCCATTAACCTGCAGGTTATACATAAAATAAAAATAAATAAATAGCCCTAACTTTGATTTATGTAATGGGGGGGTGGAGGGGGGAACACCTCTAAATAAATGACTCAGATGTGTAACATGGTAGTGTAAAATTACAGTATCTATAAAATGAATGGTGTACACATTATTATAAGCTCAGTAACGTCTCAGCAGCAGAATAATTATCCGATATCTATTTTATGGGACCATGCAGTAATTTTCTTTGATGGACACTGCAGTGTATATGTGTAGGCATGAGCAGAAAAACCACGTGCTGTGGGCCTATTTCTGGACTGAAGAAAACGTATATATTTATTTCTTGAGCCAGTGCTAGTAGCAGCTTTCCCTGGATTATCTAGAAAAGCTGGTACAAGTCAGCAAAAAGGAAGGGAGGGCAACAAGACAGATCAGCGTACATAAATGGGAGTGGTGTGGGGGAACACGGAGCAAAAGACACAAGAAATCAAGGAGGAAAGGACAAAACGTTTTTTTTAAAGGATTTACAAACCCATGAATACAACCTCTAAAATTAGTTCTTAAAGGAACACTAAAAAGGTATTAGAAAAAACATTTGCATTACTAATGCTATAGCGCCCTACTTACCATTTAGGGGACTATGCAAAGAATTGGGGAGGTTAGTGTGCATGTGTGGCACAAAACCCCCCCCCCCAAAAAAAAACGCAATGCGTCAGACAGATGGTGTGTCTGAGACTGATGGAAATAGTGGAGTTTTACTCCGGGAGAGAGAGAGGGAGAGAGATATGGAGTGGGGGGGGTTGCTGGTGGAGGGGAGAGAGAGATAGTGGTCTGGGTCCCTATAGTTTTCCTCTTAAACCAGACTATACTCACCAGAACAACTACATTAAGAGGTTAGTTGTTCTGGTGACTATAGTGTAATAATAATAATAATAATAATAATAATAATAATAAAAACCTCTAAAAAACAGGAGGCAAAACAGACTAAGCATCTCTCTTACCCTCTATAGAATATTCACAGTCAGATTGTAATATGTTTAAAGGACCATTAAAGTCATACAGACCACATCCTCTCCTCACCATGAAATGGACTGGATGCAGCAGTCACAAAAAATAAAAAAAATAAATAACAACCCAGGATTACAAATGGAAGAGAATGGAGCAGATAGACTGCATGGACATTATCTACACCACTTAATTAAAGCTCGAATTGGTTTGGTGCTTAGAGTGTGTCTCTTCACTCGTGATACAATTAGGGATTATTCTAGCTTTCAGTGAACGAATAATCGAAATTTTATTAAAGACAGGAGGCGAATATTTGCTTATCTTTCTTTACTGTAACTCCCAGCAGCAAAGAAACAGTTAACAATGTTGTATGAAGAATTCAACCAATCATAACACATTACAGGAACAATATAGTGTCATCAGACTCGTCCCACTTCCTCTTTCTTGGTGATGCCGGTCAATAGCAGAGTCAACCATGTAAACTGGAACATTTTCCGAGGCTTTAACTCAAAATGAAGTCAACCATGCAAACGTGAAGTTGATCGAAATAACCTGAGATCTTCACACTAAAAGAGAAGAAGAGAGACTTTGTGAAAGTATGGTTTCTTGGACAAGAGAAAAATATATATAGTGATACCCCCTACTTCTAACTATAGCTCAGATTATCTGGCAGAGTTAAAAAGGACATGTCAGTACCATGTGATGTAGGTTCATATCTACTAGTCTAACAAATCGTATACCGGCAAATTTAGATGCAAGAGACAGTATCATACATTAAGCATGGATCAGAAGACTTACCTTGAGGGTGGGTTCCAGAGTGAACGAAGGGAGGGAAAATATTCACCTCCTGTCTTTAATAAAATTTAGATTATTCGTTCACTGAAAGCTAGAATAATCCCTAATTTTATGGCAAGACAGGAGGCTTCATATTTGCTGTTTTAACGCTCTTGATTAATGGAACAAGCCGCATGTTGTGTTGGTTTAAAATAAAAAGTTTGAAAGGTAGATTCCCTTGACCAATCTGCGCAGGACAAAATATCCGCCAGTGAGCTGCCGGCGCGAAAGGCAGAGGATGCGGCCACCCCCCCTAACGGAGTGAGCTCCGAATGAACTATCAATTCCTGCCTGGGTAAGCAACCATCTTATCCAGCGAGCGATAGTGGGGGAAGAGACCGGTTTGTGAGGTCTAACGTAAGAGACGAAAAGGGGACCGGTAGGGGAACATAGAGCGGCAGTGTTCTCAGTGTAACAACGGGTACACAGAGCCACACAGAGAGCCGGCCTGTCGGGAAAGTACGGGTAAAAAACAGACGAGGAATTTGTCTTAGTGCGCCTAGTAATGGTAAATCTGACACCATCTGGTGCGAAGGTGACAGCGTGTGAGTCAAAGGCTTGAACGTCAGAAACTCTGCGGAAGGACACCAGACACAGTAGCAGGGCCAGTTTCGCAGAGAGTTGGCGAGGGGATAAGGCCTCGTTAGGAGGCCAGGACTCCAACAGCGCAAAGACTCGAGATATATCCCAGAACTATTTGGCAGAGGGAGGCCTCGTCAAACGAATGCCCCGTAAAAGTCTGCACACGGAAGGGTGTTTCCCAACCAAGGAATTGTCAATAGTGTCATGGCCTGCCGACATGGCGGAACGAAAAATATTAAAAATCGATCGGTATGATTTACCCTGATCGAAAAGTGATAAAAAAAATTTAGAATGGAAGGAAGAGATGATGAAATGGGATCGAGATCCCTCTCCAGACACCAGCTGACCCAAAGTCGCCATGCGGAGAGGTAGGTTCATCTGGTCCCTGGAACCCATGAATCCCACAGGAGTGTTTGAGCAGTGCTTGAAAGTCCTGCGACATGCCAAGCTCCCCTGAAACTGTCCAGGCTACCAGTTGAAGATGGCCTTGTAAGGCGAGCGGATGGTAATCGCCCGTTGGGTTCCTGAGGACAGGATAGTGTGTTGAAAGTTCCAGGAGAGTAGGGAACCACGTCTGGGCCCGCCATAGAGGAGTAATTATCACAATCCTGACCCTTTGTGACTTGACCCGGTGGAGGGTCCGCTGAATCATTGAGAAAGGAGGGAAGGCATAGGCTCCGCTCCGTGGCCAAGGTTGGAGAAAGGCGTCGACTGCCAGAGATAGAGGGTCTGGTAACCAGCTGAAAAAGTCGTCTGTCTGACGATTCAGCCGAGACGCGAAGAGGTCGAGTGTAAGGGGTCCCCGCAATAGGTGAATGTGGTGGAATAGGAGAGGGTCTAATTGCCAGTCGCTGGCATCCCTCCAGTGACGTGAAAACCAGTCCGCGACTAAGTTGTCGGGTCCTGGGAGATATTCTGCCCGAATGGACAGATTCCAGTCTAAGCAGAACTGATATAGATCCTTGGTGAGGTCTGACAGTTTCGATTTGGAACCTCCGAGTCGGTTTACATACCGTACTGCGGAGATGTTGTCCATCTGAAGTACCAGAGAGCAGTTGGAGACTTCCTTGGCAAAGCTGCGGATCGCGAAGGATCCGGCAATGAGCTCGAGACAATTTATGTGAAGTGCCTGTTCTGATGGGGACCAGAGACCCCCTGTGTATGTTTGGGTGCAAGTAGCACCCCAACCTAAGAGGCTGGCATCGGATTCCAGAATAAAATCTGGTTGAGATCCGAAAATCGCTTTCCCATTCCAAGCTTCCATATTGCGAAGCCACCAGTGAAGTTCGATGAAAACTTCGTCCGTTAGGGAAATGAATTGATCGTAAGAGGTCGAGCGATGTCAGTAGGAGGTTTTCAGCCGTTGCATTGCTCTGTAGTGTAAAGGCCCTGGAAAAATAGCCTGAATTGATGCGGATAGGAGACCCAGAATGTGAGCTAGGTCGCGGAGCCAGGGTCGTTGTGAACCGAGTAATTTTTGAATCTCTTTCTTTATGTTTTTGATTTTGGAATAGGGCAACTGTAGAGTTGCCTGAACCGAATCTATTTGGAAACCCAGAAACTGGACTGAGATGGTTCCAGATCTGATTTCTGGCAATTTATAACAAAACCCAGGTTTTGAAGGAGGGCAGAGGTCATGTGTGTGTGTTTGCGAAGTAATTTTTGGTCTTGGGCCATAATCAGGATATCGTCTAAATATATAATGGAACGTATTCCCTGAGAACGACGAGCGCCATGACCGGTTTCATTAACTTGGTGAAACACCAAGGGGCGGAGCAAAGTCCAAAAGGGAGACAAGTGAACTGCCAAATATCGCCTTGCCACAGGAATTGGAGGAAGGCACGATGTCTTGGTGCGATTGGGACCGTCCGGTAAGCATCCTTGAGGTCGAATCTGGAAAACCAGTCTCCCACGCAGAGCAAGTCTCTGAGAAGATGGATACCTTCCATCTTGAAATGACGGTATGTTATAAAGTGATTCAATGCTTTGAGGTTGATAATGGGACGGTGGTCTCCCGTCTTTTTCCGAACGAGAAATATGTTGCTGAGGAAGGTGCAGGTTTGATCGCCCCTTTCTGTAATAGTTTGTTTAGTTCTGTGTTTAAGGTTAGAGTGTCTGTTTTTGACATCTCCAAAGATGTCGGAGGAGAGTGTTGCACTGGGTGTGTGAAAACATCTATTTTGAAACCTCTGACTGTATGAAGGATCCATAGATCCTGAGAAAGTAGTTTCCACTGCGATTGGTACATGTTTCAAATAAGTAAGGTCCATTACCTGAAGCAGTGCGTCCGCGCAGGGATGCAGAGCCACGTCCGCGTATCGAGCCTCTGGTGCTGAATAGTTGTCTGTGGTAGGGTCGTGTATATCCTGTGGACCAATAAACTGTGGGTCGGGGCCTGTAGCCTGTAAAGGCTGCTCTACTGGTAGCTCGGCCCCTGGAGCGACCAGCTCTCCCAGAAAAACGATGAGTTTGGGAGCGGAAAACCCTATGTAGGGAGGACTGGGCTTTGAGTGTGGTAAAGACCGATACATGCTTGGAGAGGTCTCGTATGAAACTGTTACCAAACAGTAGACCATCGGCCTCTGGGCCTAGTTCCTTAGTCTTCAAGTCTACCAATTTGGCATCGATTTTATAAAGTGCCGCTTTGCGTCTCTCAATCGAAATAGCCACATTGGCGTTGCCCAATAAGCATAGGGCTCTCTGTGCCCATTCTCTGATAATGTGCGGATCAAATTCACCGCTAGTGAGTGCCTCATCTACTAATATAAATATTTGAATTATAGGACCTGAAATGTCCAATAGTTTGTCTTGGGTCGCTTTCAAACCCTGCTCAATACCCTTACGAGGGTCTTTACCGGATTTCGTCAAGTAGGTGACAAGCATGGGGTCGAATTCAGGGGTAGAGGCAACTTTGCCTGGAATAGTTGGTCTCGGGCATTCAGCCCTTAGTTTGTTTCTTATTTCCTTTTCGAGGGGCTTGCGAAGCCACATTTTACAGAAATTAGCAATATGGTCCGGGGGAGCCCATTCTGCTGAGCGCGGGTGACGAATCACCCTTGGGTCAAAAAAGGGAAGGCCCAAGGCATCCAGGAGGGTGTCTGAGTCAGGCACTTTAGATGGAGGGATACTCTTGGAATCCTGACCCGGGAAGGTTTCTTTTACGAACTCCGATGTTGAGGAATCCTGGGGCGCATTCACCATGGGATCCTCATCAGAGTAGTTGGGGTCATAATCACTTAAAATATGGCCAGTCAAACGTGAAGTAGAACCCTCTAGAGGGTCTGCAGCATCCTGCGTAATGTATGGGTGAGAATGTTTAATGACCTTGGCAGGAGCTTTGCCTTTGCCCGCAGTAGCGCTATTCCCTTTCCAGGGTCTCTTGCGCGGGGCGCTGTCTTGATCGGATATATGGGAACCTTCAGAATCAGAGGGTTGTCGTGTAGAGGGGTGCACCTCTATGGTACGTTCATGGTAGGCTGCCAAAGCCTTAGGAATGGACTCCGCGATAGTGGAGAAAAGCCATTCCTTAAGTTCGGCAGAGATGGCAGGGTCTTGGCGGTCTGACATAATGCGTCTCAGTAATATATGCAAACTGTAGGGTTGTTAATTAAGATGAGGCCACTCAATTATAATAAAAAAAAAAAAAAAAAAATTAAAGATGAGGCCCCTGACGAAGGTGCATGCAAGCACCGAAACGCGCGTCGGGTTTTCCGTTTCTTCTCTTATTCACTCTATCACAGGGCACTTTCACTATGTGCAGGCAACCAACACTAAGTATGGTTCTGCACATTAGCACTTCTATATTTTTCTAACCTCCTTTTCTGTCCTAATTCCACTTTTTTATCAAGTATCATGTGAATCACACTATAGATATCAATTACCACTATTAGTTCATTTGACTTCATCATATTAGTTTGAGAGTTATCTTTCTCGCTTAATTATTTAGTTATTGCTACCACAGCAGTTTCAGTGAGCACAGGGCTCCATACAAGCTATTTAGTTACATATGGAGATTTAGATACTCTCGAACTTAGAAATTGATACATTATTGTTATACTGTCTGTATGACGATACTGATGTTAACAGGCAGTACGTTTGGAATTAGGCACTTTTTTCCGTGACTTTAATGACAAGTATTTATTACTACCGTATATACTCGAGTATAAGCCGACCCGAATATAAGCCGAGGCCCCTAATTTTACCCCAAAAAACTGGGAAAACTTATTGACTCGAGTATAAGACTAGGGTGGGAAATGCAGCAGCTACTGGTAAATTTCTAAATAAAATTAGATCCTAAAAAAATTATATTAATTGAATATTTATTTACAGTGTGTGTATATGATGAATGCAGTGTGTGTATGAGTGCGCAGTGTGTGTATAAATGCAGTGTGTGTATGAGTGCAGTGTGTGTATATGAATGCAGTGTATGTGTGAGTGCGCAGTGTGTGTATGAATGCAGTGTGTGTATGAATGCAGTGTGTGTGTGTATGAGTGCAGTGTGTGTGTGTATGAGTGCAGTGTGTGTGTGTGTGATGCAGTGTGTGTGTGTGTGATGCAGTGTGTGTGTATGTGATGCAGTGTGTGTGTATGAGTGCGCAGTGTGTGTATAAATGCAGTGTGTGTATATGAGTGCAGTGTGTGTGTGTGTGTGTGTGTGTGATGCAGAGCCTTGGTGGGGGATGGGCATTTTTATAAAAAAAAAATAATAATAATATTATTATTTATTATTTAAATTGTTTTGGTTATATTATTTTTTTAATTATTTTTTTATTTATATTTATATATTATTAATTAATATTTTAATTTTTTCGTTATATTATTTTTTTTTTAATTATTATTTATATATTAATGTATTTATTTTCGTCCCCCCCTCCCTGCTTGATACATGGCAAGGAGGGGGGCTCTCCTTCCCTGATGGTCCAGTGGCACTGGCAGTTCAGTGGGGGGATGAGGGGGGCTGGCAGAGCTGTTACTTACCTCTCCTGCAAGCTCTCTCCTCCCCCACGCCGGTCCGCGCAGCTCTTCTCTCAGCTCCCACTGTAAGTCTCGCGAGAGCCGCACTATGACCCCGCGGCTCTCGCGAGACTTACACTGGGAGCTGACCGAGGTGCTGACCGGACCGGCGCGGAGGAGGAGAGAGCTGACAGGAGCTGCAGGAGAGGTAAGTAACAGCTCTGCCAGCCCCCCAGTCTGTATTATGGCAATGTAAATTGCCATAGTACAGACACTGACTCGAGTATAAGCTGAGTCGGGGTTTTTCAGCACAAAAAATGTGCTGAAAAACTCGGCTTATACTCGAGTATATACGGTATATCCAGACTTTGACTAATCAAGTACAAATAAAGTCAGTAGTCTATAGTACATTGTAGCCACGGATTAGTACCAGGGAGGTTTTGCCCAACAGGCTGATTTCACTTTTACCACATTGGGATGACTTTATAATTTGGACAAGAGGTTCTGTTGTATATATTTTGGTATTAGCATAATTATACTATTTACTATTCCACATTATAGTTCCAGTATATGCTCAAATCACTGGTTTTCCAGTGATTCGACTTTGATTTTTTTGTCTATTTAGGGGTTATGCCCCAGGACATCCCTGGAGTGTCCGTTTAGGTGTTTTTTGGAATCCACTGGAGGTTTGTCCCTTGAGGACTAAACCATTACCAGTGGAACCCATTAATATATTTCCACTCAATTATAATATATGAAAGGTGGGGGTCACCCATAAATGCTTGGCAAAATTTTAAATATTAAAGGGCAATTAATAGAGGGTCACCCTATTAGACAGATGGTGGACAATATAGATATTGTACAGTCAATGAGGTGGGGATCACCCACTAGAAAAACAGCAATAAAATATATACAAAGTATGTACAGTGAGAGAATGGGGGTCACCCACAAAATAAATCAGGTGGTGTCAGCCACACAGTAGTGTGTTCAGTAGGTGGTGTCAGCCACATAGATATTTTACACAGTTTGTGTATTAAATATGTAAGTGGGGTTCACCCACAACAGGGAAGAATGGTCAGCCACACACAAGGTTTGGCAAATTATATTAGTAATACAATGTCAACCACACTACAAATCATACAAAATTAGGGAGAGGGGTTCACCCAGATTGCAGCAGCTTGGTCCTTTGTGTGGAGCAAAGCCTGCAAAAAAACAGATGAGAAACAGATCAGTATACTGATCGTTTAACTGAGATGCGCATATGAAATGAGGTGGAGTCAGAAAAGGCAGCAACCTACCAAGCTAGGCAATAAATGTACCCACAAGTTTGAATGAAGTCTTGGCGTGATAGTGCTTACAGGATTCGCTGGATGGAACACTGGGGCTGAAAAAATGGCCGCCACGAGATCGCCGCCGTTGAAAAGGCGGGAAAAAACGTGTCACAAGGGAGACGCGAGTAGGCGGGAGGAGAGTAAGGCGGGAAACTGCAGCCACGGGCTCATGGGAAATGGAGTCCGCGGCCGATGAGAGACGAGAATGGGCCGCGGCTCTGCCTCAGAGGAGAGAGCCGCGGCCAGCTGACTGAAGCTGAAGATTCAAAGAAAACTGTATGTGCAAACACGGAGTGGCGCCAAATTTTAAAGGGGGAACCAAACGGTTAAGGATAGATATGTGAAGAAAAACAAGTGAAGGAAATATTTAAAGGGGAAAAACACTAAACTGAATAAAGTATGCAAATAAATGAGAAATGAGGATGTGTGTAGGAAAAGAGGTGACAAATTAAAAAACAAAGTTTGCTGAGGTGAAGTAGATGTTGCAAATTACAAAATATAAATAAAATATATAAAAAAAAACTTAAACTAGTAAGACAATGTAATTGGAGTAGACTCACCTGGGAGGAGTCTGGTGGCATTATATTGTTCCTGTAATGTGTTATGATTGGTTGAATTTTTCATACAACATTGTTAACTGTTTCTTTGCTGCTGGGAGTTACAGTAAAGGGAGATAAGCAAATATGAAGCCTCCTGTCTTGCCATAAAATTCTTAACTCCCATTGAAAAAAACCCACTAGGTCACCTAGATTTACTAAAGCTAGGTTAGAATATGTATTCGTTATTAGCAATGTTTTAGATTCATTTATGGAAAGACAATGAGGTAACAGGAAGTTGCCAGCACTACAAAAATCATTGCTTAGTTACACTATGCGTACACAGCACAAGCCTTCAACTATAAAAGCATTCTCTGGAACATGGCTTGCGTCAGACACGACTTTTGCATCAACAGCTATCCTGGTCAGCTCATCCAGCGTGATTTGTTCTCAAACAAATATATGTAGCCAGGCTCAGTGCTAATTACCCATGCATGCTCAGCACAGCACAAAAGCACTGTGTGTGATGGCACAGAGATTCCTAGGAGCTGACAGAAGCCTTGGCTGATAGATTTGGGGGGGTTCTGAAAAGGCAATTAAATAATTGGTTCACTAGGATTGGATGAGATCTGAAAAGTAGGTCATTAAACGTTTTGCGGCCAACATTTCAATTATTAGATAAGTGGTAGAAGTAGTCGTTGTATTTAAAAAAAAATATATTAAAAAAATTATATATCTCTTGAAAATGAATCTTCAAAGATGATATCCCTCCAATAGACATGGAACCTAAGACACAAACCCCCTTTCCAGTGATTAGACATGAAATTGCCACTGAATATATCTCAGCAGGTAGAATGAAGTCATTTCAGATTATAGGAATCAGGAAAAGGACAGAAAGCCATGGACAATGCTACTGGTTACCTGCACAATATAAAAATCCATTAGGAAAAACATCCATACAATGCACTTAAGTTTCAGTAAAAAAAATCCTAGCGCAATACAAAGATACAGATGACCAAAGACGGCCAGTCCATAGGCCCCAGGTGGCACTCACAGAAGCAGTATGTTGACCTTGCTCCTGTCAAAGCATGTTCCTAGGCTGCTTATCACCCTTCCCACAATTGGACGCAGCTAAAGAAAGCAGATGCCCCCTAAATTGTTTCTGACCTCCCCATGTTTCGCTATACCCAATGGGTGATTTGCCTGGGCTTCAAATAGATAGAGCTGCGCTCTCAGCAGCTTTACTGGCTGTCTGGAGCGCCTCCACATGACACATGCTGGCCGGGATGACCGTACCAGGGATATTCAGGCTCTGAGTGACCGACAGGAGGAAAAAAGGCAGTGCTCTGCCTCCTGCCGGTCACTTCATGTAGTGTGGCCAAGAAGACCACGCTGCAGTAGAGGGTCTTTATCCTCTACCCAGTCTAACAGGAAGTGGTCAGTGATAGAACTGAACAGCTTCCCGTCAGTCTGGGTACCGCAATCCGCTCAGCCACACTACATAAAGGGATGTAAGTAGGGGCACAATGGGGAAAGAAAGAATGGTACATAAAAGGGCCGTACGTAATGAATGTGGGCGTGGTTTGGTGAGCGTAGTTTTGGTTGGGGGTGCAGCATTTCATCCTTCAACACAGGCAGCACAAAGGTCTTGGGCCGGCCCTGCAGAGAACACATACAATAATATGCATTCCTACAGAAATGGCAGAACCAGAATATTGATTAATTGAAAGCGGTTTAAAACAGATGCCTGTGAGATGTCCGTGACCTAGAACAGGCATAGACAACCTTCAGCACTTCAGATGTTTTGGACTAGACCTTCCATGATGCTTTGCCAGCATTATGAGTGTAAGAGCATTATGGGGGATGTAGTCCACAACATCCGGTGTGCCGAAGGTTGCCTATCTCTGACCTAGAGTATTTGCATAGAATCACCATTTTAGACTCCATTTTGACATTCTGGTCTGACATAATGGATTGATCGTGCCCTGTATTAAATAGAATTTAAATCTGGTTCAGAAATAACGAAAGAGTGCTAGAACACCTAATCCACTAAAACAGATAATAGCTCACAAAAAGAGCCCGTTCTATTTTCTTTTACTGTGCACATTGAATTAAAAAAATTAATAATTGTAAATAGTGATACATGCATGATATCAAAAACAGCATTCATCAATGCATCTAATGAAGCATTATGGAAAAACATTCAACATCTGAAACATAATCTTTTAAAATAAAGGCAATGATACACGCCACACCTGCCTAACCTCCAGCAGATAGGGATGTCGGCATCCGTTCACCTCCCCACCACTTATTACGTGCGCGATGAGCTGTATCCTATACATTTAAATAAACAATCCAGTGAGTATTATTAGCTTTAGGTCTCGATGTCACCTGTTCCTTTAACACTGCCCAGCCCAACATCACTTGTGGATTTTTAATGCTTGAAATGATACCTTCAGGGAGTGCTGTAGCTGCTGGAACCTCACAGCGCTGCTTTGGTATAGTGCCGAGCACACCATGTGGCACTCATGCCCACAGCACTGCCAGATAGCAACATGGTGGATGAAAATAAACAAAGTACAGAAAGGCTGCTTCCCATCACATGACTCCATAGACTGTGCACATCAGACCCTGCGACCTTTGAATGTGCTGAATATAGATCCAAAGGGCAGGAGGGTGTGATTTATTTTAATAACTTAGTCACACACTTGGCAGAGCCCGGGGAAATGACCTTATTAATAATATTGAAAAACCCTTGCTCCTAATTCCTCAATCCACTTAGTAATGGATAATAGATATTTCACTAAAACAAAATCAAGGTCAGGCTAAATTCTAATCACAGATTAAAACACAGTCACAAATATTCAGGTGCACTACAATTCCTAATAGCCCTTCTGGTGAAACGCGCTTGCAAAAGAACCCCTACGTGATTTTTACAGTGCGAATATTTTGGCATAAGTTGCCATTTGTCAATTTTCTGCAGCTCCTCTGCCAATTAATGACTGATTTAATCACAGTTTAATGACTGAACCCCAACCAAGCTGAAAATTATTTGGATGAATACAGGGAGGCAGAATTACATAGAATGCGACGGTAGATAAGAACCATTCGGCCCATCTAGTCTGTCCAATTTTCTAAACACTTTCATTATTTCATACTGCCTCTCTTGGCAGAGTTATTACCTCTTTTGGAGTCCAATACCACCTGTACTCTGATGACACCCAGATATCTCTCTCTCTCCTCCCCGGACCTCTTCCCTGCCGTCCTGCAACAGGTCGCTGCTTGCCTTTCTTCCATCTCGGACTGGATGTCCTACTGCTCTCTGAAACTCAATCTCTCTAAAACTGAGCTCCTTGTCTTTCCTACTCCCAATACTGATCCTCCACTCTCGCTCTCCATTCAAGTTAATGGTATCCACATAAGTCCATCCCTGAAAGCGCGCTGTCTTGGCGTCATACTTGATTCTGGCCTCACCGTTGAACCTCACATCCAGTATGTTGCCAAATCCCGTAGATTCCATCTTAAAAACATAGCCTGCATAATCCGTCCCTTTCTTACGCAAGATGCTACCAAGGAGCTTGTCCATGCTCTAGTAATTTCCTGCATGGATTATTGTAACCCTTTCCTGATTGGTCTTCCCAAAAGCCGTATTGCCCTGCTACAGTCTGTAATGAATGCTGCCGCCAGACTGATTTTCCTCTCTAGTCGGTCCTCTCACACCTCACCCCTGTCAGTCCTCATATTGGCTTCCTGTATCCTATAGGAGTCAATTCAAAGTGCTAACCCAGTGGTTCCTAAACTTAAGTTCAAGGCGCCCTTAATATTTCAGTATTTTTCCAAGGCACCCCAAGTCAAAATATCTAGGTTGTATATCTGTACAGCGCTGCAGCATTTACTGGCACTATAGTGTAATGTACAGTGTTGGTGTTTGAAGGGGTGCTTGTATATAGTTATTGTGTTTTAATACAGGGGTGTGTTTTTAATATTTGTGTTTGATTGCAGGAGTGTGCTTGTATGTTGTGCTGGTGTTTGAATGATCGGATGTATCCACACACATAGAAACATAGAATGTGACGGCAGATAAGAACCATTCGGCCCATCTAGTCTGCCCAATTTTCTAAATACTTTCATTAGTCCCTGGCCTTATCTTACAGTTAGGATAGCCTTATGCCTATCCTTCGCATGCTTAAACTCCTTTACTGTGTTAACCTCTACCACTTCAGCTGGAAGGCTATTCCATGCATCCACTACCCTCTCAGTAAAGTAATACTTCCTGATATTATTTTTAAACCTTTGTCCCTCTAATTTAAGACTATGTCCTCTTGTTGTGGTAGTTTTTCTTCTTTTAAATATAGTCTCCTCCTTTACTGTGTTGATTCCTTTTATGTAATTAAATGTTCCAAAGATGGGTTTACCGATTGCAAAAAGTAATACAGAAGAGAGAAATCAAACGTCTATTAGTCAATTTTGGTATAGAACTTCCTTTTCAGCCCACATGATTAAGATTGTCTAGAAATTCCTGGACATTCCAGTTTATGCTGCATAACTAGTACGGAGGTTTCAGGTAATGATGCAACGTTGCACCATCTCTGCAGTCAGTCACGCTTAATAGGCAATCTGATTGTACACCAAGTTTCCAGGAAAAATAGAAAAGAGGAGCCTGATGCAACACAAACTTCAGAAAGTGAAATGAGACCACCTTCCCTCCCCTTTTTAATCTGAAAATTGGGTTTTAGACAGGCTTGATGCTTCGAAGTAATAAATTTGAACACAGAAGTAAATTTAAAAAGATTCCACACAGTAAGCAGAATTTTTGTTTAGAGAGCCCAATAAAACTTAAAGGATCACAAACCCGTTTTCCTGACACTATGTCATCCTTGGGGGACCCTCACCCTCAGGGTTCCCCCCTCCTGTGGCGCTGATGGGGTTAAAACCCCTTCAGCAGCTTACCTTAATCCAGCGCCGTGCTCCCTCGGCGCTGAAGATCTCTCTGCCCCCGCCAGCTCCCAAGTGGGGATTCTAGCAGTCCATAGGAAAGCATTTCTCAATGTCTTCCTATGGACGTTCTGCACGCTGGATGCGAATTTCACATCCAGCGTCGCAGAAGCGCCTCTAGCAGCTGTCAGGAAGGCAGCCACTAGAGGTTGGATTAACCCTGCTATGTAAATAGTTTCTCTGAAACTGCTATGTTTACACGTGAAAGGTTAATCTTGAGGGACCTGGCACCCAGACCACTTCATGGAGCTGAAGTGTTCTGGGTGATTATAGTGTCCCTTTAAGTATTATTAATTACCATCATCATTTATATAGCTCCAACATATTCCACAGGGTTTTACAAATCATCAGATGGGAAATGCGTGGGCCTAAATTCCAGCTGAGAAAATGTGGTTTTGTTATTTTTTTTTAGAAGTTCTATTTAAAAGCATTGAAATAAACCCATTGCATGCTGCATAGTCAAACATCTTATATTCTCAGTTTGAAATGCACTGGATTATTTCGGGGCTGACACAGCAGATCAAAAGCTAGGCAGGAAATGTGGACAGATGCTGCTAAATGGAGCATTGTCAGAGTCACCTCGGGTCTTCTAAACAGCAACAATAATGGGAGGTTATGTAACAGCCCTCTCCCCGCTGGAGCTCGGACAGCAAACAATTATATAACCACAGGGACACATTGTGCAGAATGTGATTATTTATACTGTGCGTTTTAAAAGCCATTATCTGATCTGTATAAATAGTATAGTGGCAACTTATAATTGCTAGGTTGCTCGTTTTTTTTCCTGCAACAAGCTAAACTTGGTTTATGGCTTACAAAATGTTGGTTTAGAATAGATGCGGAGATGTTTGGGAGCTAAGTAGCAAACGCTATAGTGCAGTCTACGACTCCCAGCCTTGTTCTCCTGCAGCTACTGGGGTGCACATCAACCCAGTTAGCGCTACCCCCATTAAAGGACCACTCTAGGCACCCAGACCACTTCAGCTTAATGAAGTGGTCTGAGTGCCTGGTCCTTCTAGGGTTAACCCATTTTTTCATAAACATAGCCGTTTCAGAGAAACGGCTATGTTTATTAATGGGTTAAGCCTTCCCCCTAATCCTCTAGTGGCTGTCTCATTGACAGCCGCTAGAGGCACTTGCGTGCTTCTCACTGTGATTTTCACAGTGAGAGCACGCAAGCGTCCAAAGGAAAGCATTATGAATGCTTTCCTATGTGACCTGCTGAATGCGCGCGCAGCTCTTGCCGCGCATGCAGCCGACGGGGAGGAGAGAAGGAGGCTCGGAGGAGGAGAGCTCCCCGCCCAGCGCTGGAAAAAGGTAAGTTTATACCCCTTTCCAGAGCCGGGCGGGAGGGGGTCCCTGAGGGTCGGGGCACCCTCAGGGCACTATAGTGGTCCTTTAATTGGATTTAAAAAAAATTCTAAAAGGGTAATGGGCACTATATTATTACTACTACTACTACTACTACTACTACTACTACTACTACTAATAATAATAATATAGTGCGCATTACCTATTGGTAATAGGTGTATAGCTATTTTGGGGTCTATCAGTGCCCCTTTTGGGAGGGAGCTTTACTAGAGATATTTTCAATCCAGCACGCCAATAAAGCGTGTAGCGCAGGTAAGAATTAAAAATACTATTTGCCTTCTCAGCTCATTCTGGCGCAGACATTTCCATACTATACACTGGTAATACTTTCGACTATTTAAAAAGCCCATGTAGAAGTGCATGAGCACTCATGCATTAGTTCCAGGAGCCAAGCTAATTTGCATCATATGCCTTGGACTGCCAAGCTAGCAAAATGTAAAACCATTCACAAAATAAAAATAAATAAAAGGGGTGGGTGGGATGCAGAATTAAGTTTGGTAAAGTGTTAATTCCAATTTATTGTCTGTATATTTTCTTTCGCTGGTGATCCTAACTGTGAATGGCTTTCAGGAGTTGGAGTGTTAAAATAATTACAGGAGCAATAATTTAAAAGCTGCATTTTCACTACACATAGTAACCATAACTGTTCGGTTTCATATTCGGTTATCACAAGCAAACTTTGTAAAGAGCAAACTTAAAACAAACCAGTATTGTTTCACACATTTCCTACACACAGAATAAACTCCTCTAAAATGGAAAATAAGAATGAACAAATGTACATCTCACGTCACTTGCTCGATATTAGCAATTCTTGTAATTCAAAGGGGGAACAAGATCTCCATAAATTATTTCCGTAATTCATCAAGACCACACCGTCCTGTTAAATACAAATCTTGGTGCCCTGCATGGTGTTATTGCGTGTGTGTCAACAGGAAAATGGAACGGGATCTGCTGCATCTTTCGGAAGAAGCAAACATGCACATCAGCAACGATGGTTCCTATGGGAAGCAGCGCCTGACTGCACTTAGGAGACAGAGATAGCAATTAAAGCAGCCGACTGCTACTGTCTCCATAACAGCTGAATGGACTGGCTTCATTTCACTCAGTTAGTGGTTCCTTTATTTTTTAATTTTTTTTATGCCTTGTGTTAACATGCATGTAAAAGAACATCTTTATAAATATTGTAACTTGTTTATTAAACCCACAGCACTACATTCAACTTGGCAGGTTACACCCCCCACCCCCCATGGTGTCCAAGACTGAGCAGAATGTAGCAGCAGGGGTTTAATAAAACAAATATTTTATGACTTTCAAAACAAACAAATATACAATATATATAACGCTGGACTTGCAACTGGATTGATGCCATTTAAGTATTCTGAAAACACTGCATTAAACGCTTGACTGTTTATTTTTATAAATACTTTTTTTTTTTTGGGAGAAATAAGGACACATATTTAAATGTTATTTTAAAGGACCACTATAGTGCCAGGAAAACACTAGTTTTCCTGGCCCTTTAGTGCCCTGAGGGTGCCCCCACCCTCAGGGACCCCCTCCCGCCCGGCTCTGGAAAGGGGAAAAGGCGCTGGGCGGAGAGCTCTCCTCCTCCGATCCTCCTCTTTTCCTCCCCGTCGGCTGAATGCGCACGCGCAGCAAGAGCTGCGCGCGCATTCAGCCGGTCACATAGGAAAGCATTCATAATGCTTTCCTATGGACACTGGCGTGCTCTCACTGTGAAACTGCTATGTTTATGAAAAAATGGGTTAACCCTAGCTGATCCTGGGACCCAGACCACTTCATTAAGCTTAAGTGGTCTGGGTGCCTAGAGTGGTCCTTTAATCTAACGGTTTATGGGTGTCTCCAAAATATCTCCATGACAAATTCCCAAATCACACACGATAACCATTTAGAATTCTCTCACATACAGACAGTGTCAGGGATATTTACTAAACTTGGAATTTCAGAGAAATAATCAGGGATACTGGGCCTAAAAATATACAATTCCCTCAAAAATTCCCAGATCAGTAAATACACCTTAGTGTAAACAATTACATAAACTTTGGATTCATGTACTAATTTAATTATAACAACAAAGATAAATAATCTATGCTTCCCCAATATAATGAGATCTTGGACTGACCCCTCAAGTATAAAATAGCTTGAGACACATATCTGGGGTCCCCTGAAGGGTACAAAGGCCATTGCTGGGGACACATGCCTGGGGTCCTTAAAAGGGGAGAGAGAGGCACATGTTTGGGAGTCATTGAAGGGTAAAGGGGTCACTGCTGGGGCCCAAAATAGCTTAATATTGGGGAGACCCTGTCATGGTAAAGTAGCTGGTTAAAGGGAGGGGGGGTCCCCTGTCTGGTTAGGCCTGGGGTGTTGGGGGTCCCTGCCTGGGTATAGCCCTGGGGATTGGGGGTCCCCTGCCTGGGCGTTAGCCATTGGGGTCCCGCCTGGGTTGTAGCAGGGGGTTGGGGGTCCCTGCTGGGTTGGCCGGGGGGTTGGGGGTCCCTGCCTGGGTTGTTAGCCGGGGGCCATGTGTCCCATAGTGCCCCCCTCCCTCCCCCGATCCTCACCCTCCGGCCAGCAGGTGCAGCAGGGTGTCCTTGCTCTGAGCCATGTCCCTTCCGGCCGCTCTCTCTGGGTCAGACCAGCATCCTCCTCCCGGCAGGGGTGGTTCGGGTGTCCCGGCCCGGCTCCCGATCTGTCACTGTCCTGGCCGGCAGCAGCCGGTTTTCTCTCCCCAGCCGGCGCTCGGATGGCGTCACTGGATCCTGGGGGTGTGTGGTCTCTGATGTCACACGGGGGGCGGGCACTCTGCGGCACATCGCGCACGCGCAGAGCGCTATAGAGGAAGGCAGGTGCTGGGGGCGCGCGGGGGGCGTTGTCCGTGACGTCAGCTCGGGACTCGCAGTCTGTGGCGGGAATGGGGGCGGGCACTAAGAGGTCACGTGACATGCGGGCTGTCAATCATCAGCCTGGAATGTAAACCAGTGTCAGCATGATTGGAATCACGTGACTTATTCACTAAACTGCGAACTCACAGCTCACCAGCGTCAGCCCGGAATAGCAACTGGCCACAATCTCGCCCCTAAACGCCAGATTGTAGCCAACTTTTACACAATAACAGAACGTTTTCTTATCCCTGATAAATCCACGGCGGCACTGCGTATGGGTAAGGGAGGGAGAACAATAACCACAACGCGTGAATCCGTGCAAATACGGCTTACTGAGCCATAAACTATAAGGCAGCAGAGAGACACTTCTACCAAATTCTGTGCTAGAGGAACGCACTATATCCAAGTAACGTGTTGAAGGAGGACCATGTTGCTGCCGAACAAATGCGATCCGCAGAAATGTTGGCTGCAGCTGCCCAAGAAACGGCCAAGGATCTGGTAGAATGAGCTCTAAGGCCTTGAGGGACAGGAACTCCGGAGGCTGTGTAGGCCTGACCAATGGCAAAGATGATCCATCGGCCAATATGAGACGAAGAAGCGGCTTGACCCTTCTTGTAACCTGAAGGAATAATGAACAGTCTAGATGCAGGGCCAGATTAAGAGCCCAGTGGGCCTGGTGCTGACAATTAGGACGGGCCTAATTACAGAATCATATCGACCAAAAACAGTAAAACACTCCCAAGCGTCATGTATCTGATGGTGCTGGAGAGAAAGAAAACAGCAGCTATAAGAAAACACATACCCTAGGCTAATCTCTCTCTAATTTATGTTTTCATCTTTCAAGTAAATCCATAACCCCTAACAGCAGTGTCCAGTCAAGCAGGAAGTCAATGGGCATAGTAAAAGGGTGTGCCACTGACACAAATTACGTAACCTGCCAAAAGGGGCGAACATGCCCAAAAAGAGGACATGTCTGCACTAAGAATTAGAAGGCCAGCCTGGCATGTCAGGCTGCCTGCCAATCATGCAGCTGGCCAACTAAGGGCATACTATGCAGACAGCAACCTGAGCTTGGCATAAATGCATCTAATGATGCGCTCACTCAACGCTTTCTAAGGACTGTTCCCTAGCACTCGCTGGTCCACTTGTCTCCTTACCTTCTTACTAGCAGGCAGAAGCTCCTGCTGGTATATAGTCTGGGACAGAGAAAAGCTATATGTAGTGAGTGTAGAAGAAAGGGAACATGCCACAGTGTTAGAGAGACCAAAGTCAGCATTACCTTAAAGGATCACTATAGGGTCAGGAACACAAACATTAATTCATGACCCTATAGTGTTAACACCACCATCTAGCCCCCCTGGGCCCCTCATGCCTCCATAAATATAGCAAAATCTTACTATATTCAAGCCTGAAGCTGTAACTCTGCATGCTGTTAGACTCATAAAAACAAGCAGTCTGCTGACATCATTAGAAGTGGTGGCCTAATCCAATCACAGTGCTTCCCCATAGGATTGGCTGAGACTGACAAGGAGGCAGATCAGGGGCAGAGCTAGCATGATTCAAACACAGCCCTGGCCAATCAGCATCTTCTCATAGAGATGAATTGAATCAATGAATCTCTGTGAGGAAAGTTCAGTGTCTGCATGCAGAGGGAGGAGACACTGAATGTTTGGATGCATTTTAGGCAGCCATGACCCAGGAAGGATCTCTAACAGCCATCTAAGGAGTGGCCAGTGAAGTTATCACTAGGCTGTAATGTAAAGACTGCATTTTCTCTGAAAAGACAGTGTTTATAGCAAAAAGCCTGACGGAAATGATTCTACTCACCAGAACATATTCAATAAGCTGTAGTTGTTCTGGTGACTATAGTGTCCCTTTAACTATATTCATTGTCAGCCAGTCCACACAAGTTTTGTTCCCATACATCCCTCTTAAGTTTCCATACTTAAGTAAGAGTATGTTAAAAGTAGTTAGGGTTGCCACCTTTCTTGGAAAAACATACCAGCCTTACTAATTTGCATAATTAAATATGTATGGGTGACATCACATGATGTAAATCACAAGGAGTGACATAAGAGAAAATTCTGTAAAATCACCAAAAAACTACTTAGTTTGATTCTGCTGTATAGATGGATTCCTCCCAGTGCCCCCATGTCTCCTAGTGCCCTCATGACTCAGTGCCCCCATGTGTCGATTACTCCAGGTCTCAGTGTTCCTATGTATCAGTGTCTCAGTGCCCCATGTCTCCCAGTGTCCCCTAGTGTCGTGTCCCCAGGTCTCCCAGTGATCCTATGTATCACAGTGTCTCAATGCCCCATGTCTCCCTTTGTCCCCATGTATCCCAGGGTCCCCATGTCACTAGTACACTAGGAAGACGGGGAGACCTGGGGACATGGGGAGACCTTGGGACACGGAGACACCAGTGACACTGGGAGACTAGGGGACTCTGGCTGGGACACGTTGGGACAATGGGAAAATAGGGGACACTTGAAGACATGGGGACACCAGGGACACAGACACTAGAGACACTGCCTGGGGGACATGGGGACATTGTGACACTAGAGGCACTGAGAGACATGGAGGCACTAGGAGATATGGGGACAGTGAGACACTGGCAGACTGGGGGCACTGGGAGACTAGGCGGCACTGAGACACCTGTGACACTTGAGGCACTGAGAGATATGGAGGCACTAGGAGACATGGTGACAGTGAGCCACTGGCAGACTGGGGGCACTGGGAGACATGGGGACACTGTGTCCCCATGTGTCTCTGTCATAATGTCTCCCAATGTCCCTTAGTGTCTCAGTGTCTGCCATAATGTCTCCCAGTGTCCCTTAGTGTATCATTGTCTGCCATAATGTCTCCCAATGTCTCTTAGTGTCTCAGTGTCTGCCATAATGTCTCCCAATGTCTCTTAGTGTCTCAGTATCTGCCATAATGTCTCCCAATGTCCCTTAGTGTCTTAGTGTCTGCCATAATGTCTCCCAGTGTCCCTTAGTGTCTCAGTGTCTGCCATAATGTCTCCCAGTGCCCCTTAGTGTCTCAGTGTCTGCCATAATGTCTCCCAGTGTGCCTTAGTGTCTCAGTGTCTGCCATAATGTCTCCCAGTGTCCCTTAGTGTCTCAGTGTCTGCCATAATGTCTCCCAATGTCCCTTAGTGTCTCAGTGTCTGCCATAATGTCTCCCAATGTCCCTTAGTGTCTCAGTGTCTGCATAATATCTCCCAATGTCCCTTAGTGTCTCAGTGTCTGCCATAATATCTCCCAATGTCCCTTAGTGTCTCAGTGTCTGCCATAATGTCTCCCAGTGTCCCTTAGTGTCTCAGTGTCTGTCATAATGTCTCCCAGTGTCCCTTAGTGTCTCAGTGTCTGCCATAATGTCTCCCAATGTCCCTTAGTGTCTCAGTGTGTGCCATAATGTCTCCCAGTGTCCCTTAGTGTCTCAGTGTCTGCCATAATGTCTCCCAATGTCCCTTAGTGTCTCAGTGTCTGCCATACTGTCTCACAGTGTGCCTTAGTGTCTCAGTGTCAGTGTCATAATGTCTCCCAATGTCCCTTAGTGTCTCAGTGTCTGCC